AATGGGTCTGAACCTTCAGGGGAAGTAAAGACATTAAAGGAGCAGCTATGTTCTGCAATAAGACAGAAGTATTGTCTTATCTTCACTTCAACAAAAAGCTAAAATTAGATCCAAATTGGTCCTTTTCTCACTTTACTCAGAAATATTGGAGTTGGTGATACCTCACTATTCCAAGGCTTTGAAACAAATGTGTGCCAGCAGGTGTGTGAAATGTATTGTCTACCAAAAACAAGAATGTGACAGAACAATTTTCAACATTTATTTATTTATTTATTTAATACGTTTTACAGGCTCCCCGATTCCAAGCCACTTTGGGTGGCTTACAAAAAGTAGAAATTTATCAAGTCCATTGAAGGCCATTGTGTCCTGCTAATTCACACTAATTCACAAGGAAGCTATAAACATACCTTGCAGATCAGACTTAAAAGATCTAGGAAGGAAGTATAACATTCTGGAAGTTTGGATGATGTTTTCATCCGTTCTTGAAGTCTATGGAAAGAGATGAGAAAGGAAAGCAAGAGATTGACTTTAAGTATCATGAGAATTTTGATTTCTGCAATCATAACTAGAATGATCTTGTTGAAGGAAAAGTCTTCATCATGGTTCAGTCCAAGCTAGGAATAAACAACATGGCGACTGCTTTAAGAAGAAGGTTGCAGTTTATTGAAGAGGAGAGCCAGATAGATAGCTCTGGAAGAAAAGAGGAAAGCACATGTAGGGAGTGGGGTTTTATATCCTCTGGGGCTCTTTTTCCTGTTCCTGTTTGAGGCTTTGTATTTCCTGTGTCATGTATTTTGACCTGTGTCCCTTTGGCTTCTGTGGGTTAATCCTATTATGTCCTGTCTAAGAGTTTAGGTGGGCTTTGTAGATTTTAGGTGTCTTTGTCTTCTTAATCTTCTAGCTGGGGGCCTCCAACCTTCCTGGATTATTTACATCTGCATTTCTACAGAGCTGGTTTCTGCTTGGGGGAGGAAGACTTGGGGATATTAAGAAAAAAACTAGGCATGCTTTTCTGCCTCTTTAAGATCCTTTGAGGAAATATATTTTTCTGCCCTTTTAATATTTCCTTCTCTGGGGAGCTGACTTCCCACAATCTAGATCAGTGTTTCTCAATCTTGGCAACTTTAAGAGGTGTGAATTTCACCTCCCAGAATTCCCCAACCAGTGCAGTGGCAAATTGGATTAGGGGAAGTTTTAAACTATGGGATCAGAGAATTAAAAAAAAAAAATACTGAACAGAGTTTGCCGTAAACACTTATGTGCTGCTAAAAGAATTAGGAAGTAACAGTCAGGTTTTTAGAACTAATTGTAAAATAGTAATGAATATCAAACAACAAATATAATTATTCAACATTTACTTTGGACCGAATCAAATATAATGGAAAGCTGCTGGCTATCTTTTGTTTCTATTTTGAACTATTTCATTTCAAAATAAACTACAAAATATAAAACTGCATCTTGCTCTTAAAACAATGTGTCTCCATATTACTGAGCTTATCTGATGTGTGATATTGTATGCTCTGATGTGTTACTGGAAACATGTCTAAGCAGTAAAAGCAAAAGTATTTTTCTGGCAATTCCTTTGAGGTCCTGATTTTTTTCAGAGAAGGAAATTTTTTAAAAAAACGTTTCCCTTTCATGTCCAGGTGGAGATTCTGTCAAACTCACTTTATAATTCAAATCAATACACCTGGTAAGACAAAAAAATATATAATGGTGCTGAAATAAAATTAAAAGCAGGTAGCAACATGTACAGTAGTTTATTACCAAACTCAAACCAGTATGATGGCAAATGTGACTCTTGTTATATTGAATTTTCCTTTGTTTACCTTGCTATAAGAAAAATATAGTTGTGATGCAAATTGTATAGACTCTTCTGTTGAATAACAGCTTTAGCATTCTCCTATATCATTTGAGAGTTAGATATCTCATTTCTTTCCTTTCTGAATAAGGAATGCCATATAGTGTTACATTTTAGTTCAAGAAATACATGATACTAATGATTTAAGTAAGCATCTTCGCTTGGAGTAATTTCTGTAGCAGCTAGATCATTGTCCCAGATGAGTTCCATGTAACTCTAGTAAAACTTTGTTTCAGCAATCATCTTTTAGAGAACCTATAAAAGTACAGGAGTCCTCGGCTTTCAACCATGTGTTTACTGACCATTCAAAGTAGTACTGAAAAAAATGACTTATGACCGTTTTTCACACTTATGACCATTATAATATCCCCATGGTCATGTGATCAAAATTTGGATGCTTGACAGCTGACTCATATTTATGACGGTTGCAGTGTCCCAGGGCCACGTAATCACTTTTTGTGACCTCTGACAAGCAAAGTCAATGGGGAAGCCAGATTCACTTTGCAACCATTTTACTAACTTAACTGCTATGATTCACTTAACATCTGTGGCAAGAAAAGTTGCAAAATGGGAAAAATTCATTTAACAACTGTCTTGCTTAGCAAAGGAAATTTTGGGCTCAATTGCGGTCGTACGTCGAGGTCTACCTGTAGGCACTCAAACTTCTAAAATTTCTCTCATGGCTTTAAAACAGGACACCCCAAAGTGGTCAATATCAACCTCCAAGCTTCAACGGGACTATCTAAGGCAGGGGTAGGCAACCTTGGCTCTTTTATGACTTGTGGACTTCAACTCCCAGAATTCCTGAGTCAGCATGGCTGGCTCAGGAATTCTGGGTTTTGAAGTCCACAAGTCATAAAAGAGCCAAGGTTCCCTACCCCTGATCTAAGGAAATGATTATTTTTACTATGATTATTGTTTTTGGTAGCTATATTATACTTAGTTAAAGGATTTATTAAATTATTTTTCTATAATAAATGATTGGAGGTTGATGAACAAGCTGAAACTTTATCAAGGGGTCAATGAGCTGAAGAGTTTGGGACCGACTTACTTTAAAAGTCACAGACCATGACTTTTGTATCCTTCCCTATCCCACTCCTTCAAGAGTCATGGAAACTTCCACTATTGCAAAATTACACGCGGGTATAACCTATTTCTTCTGCTTTCCTGACCAAAACAGACTTATCTGGTTCAAGTATGCAGTAGAGTCAACTAGGCTGCTGATAAGGGTGTAAACAGAGCAACTAACAAGCATATGCAAGGCGGACATTTCTTTTTTACGTTCTAATCTGGAAGTTTAGGGCAATGGTATCCTGCAGTTTTCCACAGTATATTATTCCTAATGTTGTTCATTTCTGATGAATCCTTAATGAGATAAAAGATGAACCACCAGAATAGGGCTCATAAAACCAGCTCACATGTTACTATAAGAACAAGTTGAGGTTGGGCCAAAGAGTGTTCCTGGAAATTAGGGAGCTAATATGGAAAATGTTCTTGATGCTGCCTCATGTTCTCCATTGTCCTAAGGCAGTGGTTCTCAACCTGTGGGTCGGGACCCCATTTGGGGTCGAATGACCATTTCACGGGGGTCACCAAACCATGCTGTCTGCCATTTTTTCCCTTTTCCCTAGCTGTCCTACTCCCTCTTATTGCTGGCCACACCCACTTGGGGGTCTCCACAACATGGGGAACTGTATTATGGGGTCACGGCATTAGAAAGGTTGAGAATCACTGTCCTAAGAAATGCTGGTATGGTTTCAGAGAGATCTTGGGTTTTTCTCTGTGGATTTGGTGGGTAGTTTAGCTGAGGCTTTGGGCCACATTTCCTCTATGTGGTCACTCCCTATGTGCCAATCCAGGATGCTTCTTGATTTATTGGAAAGCTCTTGGAAAAGAAGCACAAGAAGAAACACTAAGCAACTTTGGAGGAAATTTGAAGCAAATCTGACCAGACAGGCAAGAGCCCACATTAGGGATTACCTTGTAATGATAAGGGCAATGAAACATTAATGTGTTTCTGCCATTATTATATCTGTTGATAGCCATCCCTATTGGGTAAGAAGGGCTCCCTGGAACATCTGCTGAGCCACCATGAAGACTATTTACCCTATCTAGTGGATGGAAGTCATTCAAATCTACACCAGTTTAGACTCTGAATGGGCAGGGCAGGCTGACGTACATGAGGCACAATCTGGGGCTGTGCACAATCTGGGGATAAAATTGAGTGGGTGACCCCTGAGAAGGGGACAGGACTCTCTGTAATGTCAGCACAACCAGCTATTTTGCTTATTGGATTGAACCTCTTCGGGGTCATGAAAGCTGCCAGGAAAGTCAGCTGCAGTTGGGTCCGTGCTGTGCTGTCAAATCTCTTTACAAAAGGGAGTGACACTTCTTGCCTTGAAAGTGGAGATGGTGTACCCTTTCTCAAGAATCTATTCTTGGACCTAACTATTGTCAATAAAATGTAAACCATTATATTTATTTTTGAAAATATCAATCATTATCATCCTCAAATTCAATTGTCCTAAATTTGCTTTTTTAATTGAAAGTTAATGGCAAACCCTATATGTTGAATAGGGGCAGAAACTTGGCAGCTTCACTAGGCAGGCCCAAGGTCGAAAGATACTGTATAATTGGGTATCATCAGTGTACTGATGACATTGAACTGTAAGATGGTGGATGGCCTTGCCCAACTGTAAGATGGTGGAAAGCCTTGCCCAACATGTAGATGTTGAAGAGGAGGGTAGAGAGAGTAAAACCCTGTGGCACCGCACAAAGGAGCCTATTGATCAACCTCTCTCTCCTGACCACATTTTATGATTCTCCTCAATGTAGTTGTTGAATATGCCCGGGGAAGAACTGTCTCAAACTTAATCCTATTAAAATTGGCAGAATGCAGGGGAACAAAAGGGCAGAGATTGTGGGAGATAGGCAAGTGAGGGTTGTTGAAGTGCACCCATTGTTGGAGTTGGGCAATGTAAAAATTTAATTAAACATTAAACAAACATTTGAGAACATATTGAAACAGTTATCAAAAAGATTCCCCTGAAATTGATTTCTGGGGGAGGCTAGACTCTAAAAGAAACATGAATCCAGCCAAAATTAATTAGTGGAGAAAACAATATTTATTTTTTTTATTTGGCACAACACAGATTTTATACTCCTGCAGATTTCATATTTATTACAAGACATTCTTAACAAGAAATGTAGTTACTAGACATGTAGTGGAAATTGTTTGTTAAAAGTTTTATTGGACATAGTCTACCAGAAATATGTTCTATCATTCATAACTTCAAAACTTGCTGATGGATTTCACTTTTATCCTGTGGTAGAATATGGAAATTAAAGCCTCTTAAAATAAAAAGCACAGTGTAAAGTATATTGCAAAAAGAACTGAAGCTGTTCCCTAAGGTATGAGAGACAGATTATTGATGAGCAGCATATGAAAATTGAAGGCAGTATTACATAAAGAAAAAAAGTTGTAAGAAGAAACTTCAAATTTATCTTTTGAACATTAATCACTTTTAAGACTGAAATAAAAACATTAATAACTACTAATCCCACCCTTGGGCAAAATTTAATTTGAGAAGCAAAAGAAAGTAACCCGGAGAGTAATTTTTTTCCATGGTGCTATCTGATATAAAATCTACCCAAAATGTAAGGTGGGAGGATAATATTCCATTCATTTCATCTAAAAGACACTGATAATCCTCATATATCTACTAAGAATTAAACCCCACTTATGCCATTGGGTTTTCTCCCGGGTAGATAAGTAAACAGTAGGACTAAATCTGTTTATATTGATCAATTGTTTCCAGTATGATGGTGGAATGCTCTAGTAAGCTGCAAATCATTTTAACATCTAATTTTGAGATGAGAGCCACAGATGACTGAAGAGGAAAGCAAGTAATAGGTATGACTGAAGAAAGAACAAAGATTTGAGTTTAATATATACCAGTTGCCACACCAAAATTAAAAAAGACTTGTTTCTTTGGCTATTTTCATCACTGATTTAGTTTCTGAGAACTTGGATCTGTTAAAACTCAAAAAATTTAATCTGTTGATTGCCCTTAAGTTTCTGCATACAAACTGGACACATAGTAAGATTCAGTGAATGACAATGGAATATTTACAAACACTTGAGCAGTACTTCTTACAGCTATACATTTCTGTTTTTATGATTGACACATATATATAAACATAAATGGCCAAAGATCACTGTATGTGCTGCCTTTTCTTCTTTAGTACAATTTTTTCTTTAAGTAGAATCCATGGGCTCCTCCAAAGAAGCTCAGATATTGGGGAAAGGTTTTTTAGAGGTCACCAGAATTGCATGCAGAAGGAACAGCTGAGAAACATACATACATTTACAGTATGCTCATGTTTTTTATAAGCATCATTCTATTCCATGTGGTAATATCCTAATGTCCAATTAAAATATATATTTTGTATTATTCTGAGTTTATTTCTCCAGTTAAGATGCAAATATATTAGACAGATTGAATCCAAAGATTTTATTCTGTTCATGAAAGAAGGGTTCTGCTTATGGGGGGGGGGGTTTCCGTTTTATTCATAGAAAACTGTTTTCTATGACAAAAAAACCCCTCATTCATGAAAATATTTGGATCCAACGCATTCTTACCCTCGTTGAATAAAAACCAATTTGAGATAATAGTATTTAAAACTACAAAGAGTTGGCAATGCACTCACAAACACACACTTAATTTTAAAATGCAAAGTTAATACAAGTAATTGACAGATATAAAAATCTGGAAAAAGTATTTTTTCCAGCAATAATTTAAGAATAAAGCTATTGTGGTGTAGTGGTTAAAGGTGCTGAATTAGAGGTCTTGAGGCCATGAGTTCTAGTCCTGCCTTAGGTTTAAAGCCAACTGGACAGCCTTGTGCTAGTCCCACTCTCTCTCGGTCCTAAAAAGAATGCAAAGGCAAGTTGCTTCTGAAATCTTGCCAAGAAAACTGCGGGGATTTGTCTAAGCAGCCACTAGTTGTCGACACTGACCAAAGGAAAGAAAATAATAAAAAATAAAATAAAAAGTAGTTCACAAATATATTTATTTAAGAGATATATTTAGCAAAGATATTATTTTCCAGAATAAAACTGTAAAATTTAAAATTCAAAAATAGTATATTTTGAATACATTCTTATCTAATGAAACATTTTGACATTTAAACAATATTACAAATTAAGTATATGAATAAGTAAATATATAGTGTTTTGGTAATTACGGTATTATCCATATAGCAAAACTGACTATCAATGAATTATTATAAACTGAAAAAGTAGAAAATTCTCATCCTCAAAATTAAGATTTATTCTTTTCCACTGATAAAATATTGTGTTTATGAGCATTAGAAAAGGCCATCAAATATGCCAAGAAAAGGCTTAATATCACCATCGTCCTCAAGCTGTTGCCTAGGACAAAAAAAAAACACAAAGAAGATATTATTTGTACTATAAAAACCCTACAAAAATTACTATATTTAACATAATATGGAAGAGCTGTTAAACCAAAATATTGTACTAAAGTATAAATATAGGCAGGATGTGCAAATTGAAAGATAATTTACTTCTGGAAACCACTACATAATTTCAGAATGACAATGGTCCTGATACTGATCTGGATGAGGAACAAAGTGTTCCAGGATTTTCTAGAATATTTCATTCCTAAAGCAATGAGTTTTGCACAACCCTAATTATTTGTATGTCTTATCTTATGTCAATAATGAGCATTCTGAAGGGTATAAAGAGAACAGTCAAATACCCATTAACTCAGTCAGGAAGAAAAAGTTTAGAACCTATACTTTGGAGCATACAGACACATAGCACTGTGTACTGCAATAGACAATCTTCTGTGTTTATGGTTTTACTGTTGTCTGAAATAAAGAAACTAGTTGAGTTGTGTCTATATACAGTTCCAGATAGTTCAGATTTGCAGCCAGACATGGGAGAAGTCTGAGATATATAGTAGGAAGGTAAAACAAAGTTGGTTAGTTGTGAGTTTATGACCTTTGAAATACATGTTCAGAAATCATGATGCAAATTTCAGTTTGGTGATTCTACTAAAATGTTTCTTAATACCTAAGATCAGCCCCCTTTGTCATATTTCTGTTGGTAATAAAAAAGTCTCCCTTTCCATCAGTTTGGTAAGATCTCAAGGCTGTTTCTGAGGTTGCAGTTAATTGTGCCATTTTCAGATTTTCTGGTGGATTATATTCTTCTTGAAGTCTAAACTGTAACACAAAACCCCCCAAAACAAATGGATATATTTAGCATCATATGATGAACAATTTACTTCTATATTACATAATTTTACACAATTGAGTCTTAAATAAAAACCTAAGGCTTAATATTATAACAGGGTGATTCTATGCCATATTGTACAGAGAATATTTCTCAAGGGTCCAAGTATCAAGAGTGACACTAAATTCAGAAATATTTCCCAGTGTATTTCTCTCTACCACAATACAAATATCAAATAAACAATGAAGTCACAACTGATCTTTTCCCCTAGATATCTTCCCTGTAAAATACCCTTGTTAAACTTAAAATTGATAATTCCTTAGCAAAAAAGAAAACTATGTAGGAGAAGCTGAGGCGGTAGGCCCCGAGTAGATATTTAAGGCACTGTGGGCCACATCGGCCCTATAGACTGGCATCTTGCTATCCATAATATAGTAGATCAACTTCAGAGCTAACTAGTGGAAAAAATAAAGATAGCAAAAAAAAAAAAAAAGTGGCCTCTATTTCCCAAACTTGTAGATATGACCAGGACCAAACACATTTCACCACTGTACTTAATTCCATCACAGCATAAACGAGCATCCCCGCTCCATTCTATCTAACCAAAGAATATTATCTTCACTCACAGCTTATGCTATAACCTAAGGATAGCCTTCATAAAGAATTGCAATAAAATAAGTAGGTGATTAAGGTATCATCCTTAATCAAAGTCAGGCAGGTGATTAGCATCTCCTTAACAATGAACTTCCGCAGTGCCCTTGCCTCTTCTGAAAGTGGCGCTTTTGCCTAATGACAGAAATGCCCCAGGCACGCAGTCAAGGACCTGCTGAATTTCCCCAATATTTATCAACAAATTCAACTCTTAGGATTTTCTGCCTGTAGCCCTCAACTTCTGTAAAACTCTTTGCTTTCCCATTGTCTGGCGTTCCACTTTTTTGTAAAACCAGGGCCTAGCAATCATTGAATAAATGTTTGGTTATTTCTATTCTTTGTGGAACCCCTTTCTTTCTTCTGAATTTTTCCCAACAGCAATAATCTTCCAGAAAATATTACGGAATCACAGACATCCAAGTATGTGCAACTGCTGTCTCTGTCTCAGTCATGTACACAGACAAACGTAAGAAAAATTTAACAGATACAATTGATAATAAACCTAATAAAAACTAGGCATGTTCTCAATATACATTTAGCACAATATTAGACCAGCAACATTATCAGATCTGAGTATCATCACTTACAATATTTTGACTTCCACATTCTGTAAACAATTTGCTACTGGATGGAGGAGTCAGTGAGGGAGAGTAAGAATTTTGCAGGTAGATATCAGGTTTTGTGTTATCTATGGAATAACTTAAAAAAAAAAACAGAACCCAAAACAAAATTAAATACTGTGAAATAAAAGATTATTGTATAAGGTTTTAAAAATGAGTTATGTAACATTTTGAAGCATTTTCATTCTAGACATATAAGAAGGTGTGTAGTAACTGTAACAAATATATATATGCACTCCACTCTAATTATATATATATATATATATATATATATATATATATATATATATATATATATATAGGTCTTTGGTTGTTCGGGTTTTCTCCGCGTAAAATTGGAAGTGTCTTGGCGACGTTTCGACGAAGTCCCATTCGTCATCTTCAGGCTGGTGTTTTCAGCTTCGTGCTTCGAGCAGCAATGTGTGGTCTTAGCTGTTTCTTCCTTTTAACTGCCAGTGGGGGTATGAACTGATTGGGTGGGAGCTTGGCTGTGTTCTGATTGGGTGGAGGTGTGTTCTGATTGGTTAGGGGCGTGGCTGTGCTCTGATTGGCTGGGGGGTTGGCTGTGCTCTGATTGGCTGGGGGGTTGGCTGTGCTCTGATTGGCTGGGGGAGTGTTCTGTTTGGTTGTGCTCAGGTTAGTCTGAGTTGCAGAGGGGTTTAAGATTTTGGGCTGCCTTGCTATTTTTTGGCTTCGCGTTTGTGGTCGTGCCTCATTTTCATGGAGGGTGTCAGTTTGCTTCGTGTATGGATTGGAGGGCTTTGAAGTGGCTAATGATGCAGCTCTGGTCTGGCTTCTGGTTTGTGGTCGTGCCTCATCATCGGTGTGGCTTTGGGTTTGCGTTTTGCGTGGATGTGTGGTGGTGACATCCTGTGTGGTTTTTGTGAGTGTGGGTCTGGTATCAGTAAGAATAACTGATCTTACAGAATCAGTAAGATCCTCCATAAACACAACATCAAAACAGCATTCTGCACAAACAGAAAAATATCCACCATCCTTAGAAACCCCAAAGATAAAATTGAATTAGAAAATCAAGGAGTATACGAAATCCCATGCACCACTTGTCCCACCACATACATCGGACAAACCAACAGAAGAATAAGTGCACGCATTGAAGAACATAAGAACTCAGTCAAAAAAGAGGAACCAACATCTTCCCTGGTCCAACACCTTAAAGCCACAGGACATGAATCAGTTCATACCCCCACTGGCAGTTAAAAGGAAGAAACAGCTAAGACCACACATTGCTGCTCGAAGCACGAAGCTGAAAACACCAGCCTGAAGATGACGAATGGGACTTCGTCGAAACGTCGCCAAGACACTTCCAATTTTACGCGGGAGAAAACCCGAACAACCAAAGACCTACATACAAACACCCGCGAAAACCTCAGAAAACATATATATATATATATATATATATAGGTCTTTGGTTATTCGGGTTTTCTCCCACGTAAAGTTGGAAGTGTCTTGGCGACGTTTCAACGAAGTCTCATTCGTTATCTTCAGGCTGGTGCTTTTGGCTTCGTACTTCTAGGAGCAATGTGTGATTGTAGCTGTTTCCTCCTTTTAACTGCCAGTGGGGGTATGAACTGATTGGATGAGAGCTTGACTGTGTTCTGATTGGATGGAGGTGTGTTCTGATTGGTTAGGAGCTTGCTGTGCTCTGATTGGCTGGGGGGTTGGCTGTGCTCTGATTGGCTGGGGGAGTGTTCTGTTTGGGTGGGGGCTTTGTTGTGCTCAGGTTAGTCTGAGTTGCAGGGGGATTTAAACACTCCCCCAGCCAATCAGAGCACAGCCAACCCCCAGCCAATCAGAGCAGAGCCACGCCCCTAACCAATCAGAACACACCTCCACCCAATCAGAACACAGCCAAGCTCCCACCCAATCAGTTCATACCCCCACTGGCAGTTAAAAGGAAGAAACAGCTAAGACCACACATTGCTCCTCGAAGCACGAAGCTGAAAACACCAGCCTGAAGATGACGAATGGGACTTCGTTGAAACGTCGCCAAGACACTTCCAATTTTACGGGAGAAAACCCGAATAACCAAAGACCTACATACAAAACACCCGCAAAAACCTCAGAAAACAAATAAGGTGTGTGTGTAGGTCTTTGGTTGTTTGGGTTTTCTCCCGCGTAAAATTGGAAGTGTCTTGGCGACATTTCGATGAAGTCCCATTCGTCATCTTCAGGCTGGTGCTTTCAGCTTCGTGCTTCGAGGAGCATTGCTCCTCGAAGCACGAAGCTGAAAGCATGAGCACGAAGCTGAAAGCACCAGCCTGAAGATGACGAATGGGACTTCATCGAAATGTCGCCAAGACACTTCCAATTTTACGCGGGAGAAAACCCGAACAACCAAAGACCTACATATATTATATATTATATATATATATATATATATATATATATATGTTTTTGAGGTTTATATATTTGTTTCTGAGGTTTTCGCGGGTATTTGTATGTAGGTCTTTGGTTGTTCGGGTTTTCTCCCGCGTAAAATTGGAAGTGTCTTGGCGACGTTTCGACGAAGTCCCATTCGTCATCTTCAGGCTGGTGTTTTCAGCTTCGTGCTTTCGAGCAGCAATGTGTGGTCTTAGCTGTTTCTTCCTTTTAACTGCCAGTGGGGTATGAACTGATTGGGTGGGAGCTTGGCTGTGTTCTGATTGGGTGGAGGTGTGTTCTGATGGTTAGGGGCTTGGCTGTGCTCTGATTGGCTGGGGGAGTGTTCTGTTTGGTTGTGCTCAGGTTAGTCTGAGTTGCAGAGGGGTTTAAGATTTTGGGCTGCCTTGCTATTTTTTTGGCTTCGCGTTCGTGGTCGTGCTCCTCTTCATGGAGGGTGTCAGTTTGCTTCATGTATGGATTGGAGGGGTTTAAAGTGGCTAATGATGCAGCTGTGGTCTGGCTTCTGGTTTGTGGTCGTGCCTCGTCATCGGTGTGGCTTTGGGTTTGTTTTTTGCGTGGATGTGTGGTGGTGACATCCTGTGTGGTTTTTGTGAGTGTGGGTCTGGTATCATTTTTTGTGTTAGGGAGTCGTTTGTCAATAAGGGCGGGTTTCCAAATGGCTGGTAGGCGGGAGGTATCATCTCGCTTGTTCATGCTGTGTGGGCGTTTTTCTATCTCGATGGCTTCTCTGATTATTCTGTTATTAAAATGTTCACTTTTGGCAATGGTTCTGGTATTTTTAAAGTCAATTTCATGTCCTGTGGCTTTAAGGTGTTGGACCAGGGAAGATGTTGGTTCCTCTTTTTTGACTGAGTTCTTATGTTCTTCAATGCGTGCACTTATTCTTCTGTTGGTTTGTCCGATGTATGTGGTGGGACAAGTGGTGCATGGGATTTCGTATACTCCTTGATTTTCTAATTCAATTTTATCTTTGGGGTTTCTAAGGATGGTGGATATTTTTCTGTTTGTGCAGAATGCTGTTTTGATGTTGTGTTTATGGAGGATCTTACTGATTCTGTCTGTGGTGCCTTTTATGTATGGGAGGAGGGCTTTGCCGTTTTCTTGTTCTTTGTCTTGGATTTTAATGGGGGTTTCTTTTTGGATTAGGTTTGTAATCTTATTTCTATGGAATCCATTGGATGTTAGTACATTGGTGAGAGTGTGTAGTTCGGGTTTTAGGTGTTGTTCATCAGCTAAGCGTTTTGTTCTGGAGATGAGTGTCTTGGCTACAGAGTTGATCTGTGCTGGGTGGTGGTGTGAGAGAGCGTGCAGATAGCGGTTTGTGTGTGTTTTCTTCTGGTAGATGGTGTGTCCTAGGGAGCCATTGGATTTCTTGTAGACTAAGACATCCAGGAAGGGAAGTTGGTTGTTAGCTTCTGTTTCCATGGTGAACTGTATTTTGGGGTGTAGGCTGTTGAGGTGTGTGAGGAAGTTGTCCAGTTTTTCTTTCCCATGTGGCCAGATTATGAAGGTGTCGTCTACGTATCTGAGCCAGAGTTTGGGTTTGTGATCCGATTTTTCTAGAGCTTGGGTTTCAAAGTGTTCCATGTAGAGGTTGGCAATGACAGGTGAGAGGGGTGATCCCATGGGTGCTCCTTCTGTTTGTTTGTATTTTTGTCCATTATAGATGAAGTATGTGTTGGATAGGCAGTGGTTGGTCAGATCTAAGATGTGTTTGGGGGGGTTATATTTGTTTTGAATAGCTGTCAAGGCTTCTTTGATAGGCACTTGGGTGAAGAGGGATATGACATCGAAGCTCACTAGTAGGTCGCTGGGCTGTAAGTTTTGTTTCTTTATGATCTCTATAATTGGCTCCCACCCAATCAGTTCATACCCCCACTGGCAGTTAAAAGGAAGAAACAGCTAAGACCACACATTGCTGCTCAAAGCACGAAGCTGAAAACACCAGCCTGAAGATGACGAATGGGACTTCGTCAAAACGTCGCCAAGACACTTCCAATTTTACGCGGGAGAAAACCCGAACAACCAAAGACCTATATATATATATATATATATATATATATATATATATATATATATATATATATATATATGATTTATGATTTTCTGGAGAAGGTTTATTTACAAGATTGATTTGATACCAAGAAAATGCTAGCTATTCTGTCTACATTAAAAAGAAAAGATTTTGTGCATATTTAACTCTTATTCTTGTGACCCAGAAGTAGTAAAATGTTCTACAGAACAGCCCTTTGAAAATAATGAACATATATTCCTGTGCAAAGGCAGACTCTTAGAGAGGGCCAGAAGACAAGTAGGGATAGTGTATCCCTCAGAGATTTACATTTGGAAATCTTTGTACATGCAGACATAACTGAAAATATATAAGTAGAGATAGTCCTCGACTTATAACAGTTCATGTAATGATTGTTTGAAGTTGCAACAGCACTGAAAAAAGTGACTTATGACCGTTTATCACAGTTATGACTGTTGCAGCATCTCCATGGTCATGTAATCAAAATTCAGATACTTGACAACTGACTCATATTTATGATGGTTGCAGTGCCTTGAGGACATGTGACTTTCTGACAAGCAAAGTCAGTGGGGAGACCAGATTTACTTAACAACCATGTTACTATCTTAACAACTGCAGTGGTTCACTTAACAACTGTGGCAAGAAAGGTCATAAAATGGAGCAAAACTCACTTAACAAATGTTTTTCACTTAGCCACAAAATTTTGGTCTCAGTTGTGGTCGTAAGTCGACTACCTGTAGTTATTTTACTACATTTATAGATACCTTTTAAAAGGTATCCCAGGAGGTTTATTCTGAGTATTTTGGCAAAATGATGAGTTTTTTCTCAAATTCTGCATGCACATGTTTCTGGATTCCAGCGGAGAAGATTCTAAAACATAAAAAGAATGCCAAACATCTTGCAAATAGAAGCCAAAAATATCTGAAATTGATCTGATATATTTAGCATTTTAGTATTATAATAAAATCTTGGCTGATTTTGAAAAAAAAGAAGGATTGGTCCTTGATTGATTAAAAAAAAAAATCAAACAGCTGTAGACTAAATAAGTAAAAAGTAATCCTGTAAAAAGGCAGTGGAAAGCCACTTCTGCATTTTAATACAGTCACAGGAGTTAAACTCAGCAAAACAGAATCTTTATCAAAACAAAATCTAATCAGTCATACAGCTTGCTTATTTGTGGTTTAAATCTATCATCTTCCTCAGTGATATACTGCAAACTACATCTTTCTTCTTAACGTCCTGCTTGTCTGTTATTCCTAAAATCAATAGATGGAAAGATCAGATATGACAATTAAGTGTATCTGGCTCTAGTTTTCCAAATTAGTAAGGAATTATCCGGGCATGCCACTATGGGTATGCTATGTTATGTTTTAGAAACTGTATTCTATTATTTTATTTACCCCTTTTTATATAATAACAATATTATTTGAGCCATTTGTTAAAAACATTTTTTGCACTGTGTTTGTGGCTGGAGAAGTTTTCTTTTTTTTTTTTAGCTGAAACTAATAATTCAGATTTTAGATACAAAATATTAGTATATAGGTACTACAGTTAATTTTTACCTGGATCTTTTAACTTCTGCATATTAGCAGTAAAAGGGTTGCCATGTACAAAACTCCCATCATCATAATCATTCCAAATTTCATTTCCTAATTCAAAATTTATATTCAAAGTTTCAGAAAACAAAGAGATGCTTTTATCTGCATCAGTCAAGTTGCTCACTGAAGACTCTTCAAGACTTTTGTTTGAGCTCATTTTCGGGTTATTGTTTTCCTCAGACTGCTGGATAGCAAAGAAACCTAAAATTTGGCATAACAATAATATTCAAATGCAATTTGTTACATTATTAAAATAATACATTTATCCAATTTAAACAAAAGGACAAGTGAACTCACAACACCATTTTTGGAAGCAGATATCTAATAGGGAGCAGATATTTATTTATAAAATGTGCATTTTATAAGCTTTTCTAATTATTTTCTAATTATTATATACTGATCTGAAACATTCATATTCAGATATGTATGACACTGTCTTGGACAATACTTGTATAATTTTGTGTCAAAATCTACAAAATAAGAATAGTCTGGGATAATTAAGATAACCCAGTTATTCCTTTATGTTACTATATAATGAAGTAGCATGATATTCCCCAATACTTAGTGGAATTAATTTATATAATTGAAACTACAGGAATTAAAAGCATTGAACTGTGACTAAACTGTGGCCAAGTAAATAAATGTTAGAATCGTTAGAAATGTACCATTCATTTTGCGAACTTCAGATTCCAGTTGAAATCTTTGAGAAACTTCAGAACTGTAGATATCTTCTGCTAAAGGGGATCTTGGATGTTGTACATGCTCTAATCTTTAGAAAAATGAAAAATGAATTAGCCCTTTAGCCTCATAAAGCCTTGTAGCTGTTGTCATTAGTTTGGTCTTCTTTATGTATAATTTTAATCCACGTTTTTAACTGTGCTCCTTGATATTCACTACCAGAGCTTGCAGATCCTTTGCATTTTCAGCTTTCCAAGTTGTGTCATCAGCATACAGCAGTTTACTGATGTTTCTTCTTCCAGTTTTAAAACCACTGTTACCTTCTTGCAGTCCTACTTCTCTTAATGCAGTGGTTCTCAACCTGTGGGTCGGGACCCCATTTGGGGTCGAACAACCATTTCATGGGGGTCGCCAAACAATGCAGTCCGCCAATTTTTTCCCCCTTTTCCTTAGCTGTGCTACTCCCTTTTATTCTATTGGCTTTTGAAAGCCAATAGAATAGACTCTCTTGAATAGAGTCTAATTCTATTGGCTTTCAAAAGCGAATAGGAATTGTCCAGGCTGTCTCTGCCCTGCTGAGCCCGCTAAAAGTCCCATTCTGCAAACGGTGCTGCACCAGTTGAGTAGTCCTCGACTTACGACCGGTTGAGTAGTCCTCGACTTACGACCGGTTGGGGGTCGCGGCATTAAAAAGGTTGAGAACCACTGTCTTAATGTATACAGTATTCATGAGGGCTGAATAAGATATGGATTGGAATGTAGATTGACCTCTTAGCTATTATGTCATTCTCCAAATTTGCTGGTGTAGCTTGGTTAGAACCTTGACTGATTCTTATCTTCCTTGCCATATTTCTGATTTCATCAGTTCCTGTAGCCTTCCTACTAAGTAAAATGTGCCAATACCTAGTGATTCTATGAGTGCTGATCTAACTTCATCTTCTAGTACAAGAGACTCTAGTAGGTATCTTGGATATTGAATTTCTGCTGTATATATTTCAATATACTCCTTCCATCTTTGTTCTTCTTTGAATCAATTACTATCTGCCACTCGCATCCTTTAGCATACCAATTCAAGGTGGGGATCTCCTTATGAGGTCAAAGATGCCTTTGCCATTATCACTAAAGTGATCTTGCATTTCCAGCATCTTCCTGTATTGGTATTGCCCAGTTATAAGTGCCTACTTGCTTTAGCTGGACAACTTGCAGAATTTTATGCCTTGTGTTTTTTAGCCCTTCCTCTGACAAACATCTCCTGTTGTGTGTGTGTGTCTGTGTGTGTGGTTAGGAGTGTTCACTTTAAATCTAGATGATATACAGTATAGTCATAACTAACGCAGGGCTTCATCTTGGCATGCCCTTTAATTTCTTCCAGATATTGAACTTCAGTATACAGTAATTTAGCAACACTCCCAGATTATATTGTTTCCTAGTAAATCAACGGAATCACAACCTGCATACTATTTGTTCAAGTTATTCTGTATTCATTTTCCAAGCATGTTTTAATGCCCTTCCCTCTGCATTTATGGATGGCAGATAAGGAATCCCTTGTGTTTCAGGTGAAACTGAAACACTAAAACATGTTTTTCTATGATGTAAATTCTATGCAGAACTGTCAATTAATTCACTTTCTGGAAATGCTGCCTTGCCCCCAGATCAAGGTTATCTAGAAGTTTTCTTAAATCACAGACATTCTGAAATCACTGTTTTAACATTCAAATGTTGTGCTGTAGTGATAAAGTTATGTCATATCCAGATTTGTTATTAAAGTACATCATGTATTAAACTGTTACATTATTATATTTCGGGATGGTATCAGATTTGTTCTAATTTATGTCTTACTAATCTTGAACCTTGATAAAGAAAAACAATGATGATAGATGACTCTTACTATTACTATAGTACCTTGGCAATGCTGGAAGAAAAGCTTTTGGAATATAACTAAATTGTTTAAGATCAACTTTTTGAGATTTATTTGACATCTGCATCTAAAATGTAGAAAAAGATTATTATTATAATATATACGGACACATATATACTTGTTTCCTATATAGAAAATGAGATACCATAACTAATAAAACTATAAATGAACATTATGTTTCATATGTGATATGTTTTTATATGGTAGAAAATAGTACTTTGTGTATGTATGTAGAGAAAGAGAGAGATCTACTTATCTACGCATCGAGAGCTTTCTATGGTTAAGGTATTGGATTAGGAGCCAGCCGGGTGATATTTTGAACCTGTTATTCTCTCTCAGACTTAGATCTGGAAGCTGAAAAATATCTTGCTACCTACATGTACTAAACCAACATAGTAGATAACAGGGCATAACCTTCAGTGAAAATGGCTTTATAGGGGAATGGATTGATCTGGAATGATGATAGAGATTTTAGTGAATAGCAGCTTTGAATTATGCAAAGACCTCAGCAAACAGAGGGTGGCTATAAATCTATTTATAGTTTATTATTATTATAGTGTGTTATAGAAATATGATGTATTATATTTCATTTACTATCATATTGTAATCGTTTTATGGTAAGAGAAAATTCCTACAAAAAGGAAGAATAGCTTGAAATCTGTACATTTGTTTAAGTTTAGCAAAGGGGAAAAACAGATGGCGATCCCATGGAAATAAAAAAGACTGCACCGTAAAATTTTAAGAGCAGAGCACAAAATTCATCCCCAAGCCCTGCTTAGTTGGCAGGCAAGAAACACCGTCAAACTTTTGTCTGCAAAAAGTAGCACAATGTACAATATTCAATCCAACAATCATGTTCAAATTAGCCACTAATGCTTAAAGAAATCACATAGGCCAAAATGCATATAACTTTTTCATTTCAAAGCTACCTCCTGTGGAATACTGGTGTCAGCTTCTACCCTACACTGATTCCAAATAAATTGTCGAGAAGATTATAAAACATTTATTTCCCAATAGTTTTTCTGGAATAATTTGTACTATCACCTTAATCTTTTTTGTAGGCATTTTTAATGTTAATATAACGTTCTGCCTCTTTTCCTATTTCACAGAAAATATCCAACATTAGATATTATTTTTCACTAACTAAAATGCTCTTAATTGCAAATATAGCTATCTTGTTTAAAAAGGGCACACATATTCTTCCAGATTCATATACCTTTAGTCGCTTGACTGGGGGAATGGCAGATTCAGCATTCCGGTTTCTTAAGTCAGTAAGATATGAAGAAAAAACTGACTCATTCTTCATGTTCGATTTCTCTGAAACTCCAATTTTACCTTAAAAATGTAATATATATTTTCATTTTATATTTAAATTTTATTTTTGTTACAGAAAACTGGAAATAAAAGAAAAATAGTTTATAGAAATTTCAAATAAACTCTTGTATGGCAACAGTCAGCCACTTCTATAATTGCACGTACCAATTATTTCTAAATAATTCTTAAATCCATTTTTAATGAAAAAACAAAAACAAAAACTCAGAAGCAGTGAGGAATATGGGACATTTTTGAGTAAAATGCAATGATGATCTGTTCATTTTTATTGACTTTTGGTCTGTTTTTTATTTTACTCTTCCAGATGGATATTTTTAAAAATTGTTTGTGAGTTTGGGCTGTGTATTGTACGCCATCAAGAGTCATTAGGGAGTCAAGCAGTCTTCAAATTGAATAAATACATATTGAGGCAATGCCGTAACATTCACAGAATAAGGCAGATTAATTTAAAATCTTAGCTCAAAAAAACCACACAAATAAACCCCAAACCAACAACCCTTTTCTGAATATATAGCAGCTTAGACCAGTGGTGGCGAACCTATGACACGGGTGCCAGAGGTGGCACTCAGAGCCCTCTCTGTGGGCATGCGCGCCGTTGCCCCAGTCCTAGGCCTTTAGCTGGGTTTTATAAAACCTTTTCGCTTTAGACCTCCGCCGCCGTGTGCAAAAAAAAAAAAAAAAAAAAAAGGTTCAGTCAGTCAATTTCAACTTCTTGCGGGGAAAAAAAAGATCTTGCAAAGTTGGAATTGATTGATTGAACTTTTTAGTCCCACCCAGTCTGCCACTACCATCGCAGCCATGCCCACCCAATGGGCCACGCCCACCCAATTGGCCACACCCAGCCAATGAGCCACACCCACCCGGCACTCAACGATGCATAAGTGGGTTTTGGGTTGCAGTTTGGGCACTCGGTCTCTAAAAGGTTCGTCATCACTGGCTTAGACCATCAATATTTTCCCAAGCTAGCCTAGGAATGGTCTTAAAATATATACTGTGAAAGAATGATTACTACCTAGTTACATTTTTCATGGCTGTGTTTACTATAAATGTGCATCCAATAATTTGTTAAAGATACTTTTTTGGCCTGAGAAAATAGCTACATCTTGAGGACCATTTTAAAAACAAAAGCTATATTGTTGTTTTAAGATGATGGTAGTTTCTGATCTTGTACTTTGAAATGCTTTTAGTCCCAGTGGCATAGGTCCAATTTACAAAATTACTCCTCAAATGCCAGAATAAGGAATAGAATAAGACTCTAAGGACTCTTAAAGATGTCAAAATTATATATCAATTTTAAATTAGAAATTTAATTTTTTTTTAAAAAAAAATCACATTATGATTTATGAGACAATATAATTCCTCATCTCATTCCTCTACTCAACTATCTGTCATGTTCCAAATGCAAAACATCCTCCAATATGCCCACTTTTAAAAGATCCACAAGAGTTTACACTTATGAGCATGTACACATTTTCTAAATCTAAACTCAAGAGATTGAGTGAATCCTTCTCATAATTCTTTATATGCAAACTGTATCATTCATAAGTTACAATAAGAAAATGAACTCACAACAGTCATGTCCACATGTTTCTTTATTTTTGCAGTGGTGATTGCATTTTCTGTTTCCATTCTTTATGCTTACTGATTCTTGGCTACAAGTGGCTTCTTTTGTTTTATGATAGTTTGATGACATAAAAGGAAAAAAAGCTTTAAACATTATATCACAATCAAATACATGGTAATCAGTGAAAAATTGTAGCATTTGCACAATATTTTACTGTTATTTTTCATAAATTCTATAATGTAATACGTAAGTGAGATGGAACAGATAGAAAACATTTGAAAATGATCATGTAGGACAGTGTTTCCCAAACTTGACAATTTTAAGGCATGTGGACTTCAGCTCCCAGAATTCCACAGCCAGCGTTGCTGGCTGTGGAATTCTAGGAGTTGAAGTCCTCATGCCTTAAAATTGTCAAGTTTGAGAAACACTGATGTAGGAAATAGGATATGAGGTGATAAGCCTACTAAAAGTTTACTATAATTTAAGTGAATTTATCCTTAATCTACAAGTGTATACACTGGCACTTTAATGTCAGAACGAAAGGAAAAGGCATACAGTACATTCTGTTTCTAAAAATTTTGTACCAAATTAAATCCCGCTGTGTTCAATAAGGCTATCACTAGAAAATTCATCTGAGAATCCTACAATTTAAATAAAAAACCAATTAAAAATATACAGATTCAAAAAAAACCAAGATATATATATATTAGGAATCCATTTTATATATTATTTTTAATGGATTGGCCTAAAGTCATAAGAAAATTACATGCTATTTAAAGTATTAGAAACAACCCTTAAAACAACAAAAATCCATCAGAATTTATCATCACAAAGAGAATACCTCAGGCAAATTTCAAATATCTACTAAATAAGTGGGATTTGCATTTTGAATATTAACCCAAAAGCACATTGATTTTTCTTGTTTGCCAACTCATCTCATAATTATTTTAATATTCTCAATCAAAAACTTTTGAAGTAGGCCTGTACCCTTTATATTCATACATTATTCACCATCAAACTGGGTTCTGACATCAAACACTTAACCCAAAATCTATTCTGCTGCTAGCAATAAATATTTAGTATGGAATTTTTGTTTACCTTTATTTGTTCTTAATTTTGATGATCCTACTGAAGAAGTTTGAGAGCTATCAGGTTTTCCATGAGTGATCATAATTCCAACCTTCTTTGGTCCTAAGTAAAATGGTTTATATTTCTGCTGAATATCCAATCCAACTATTAGGGGAGAAAATTATATATTTAGCTTTGCAAATATATCTGTCTATATATGAATGGAGGGAACAGAAGAAAAAGCAAGTTTAATGCAAATCCCACTTTCTTGCCAACAGAATGTTACAATCGCTACATGAACTGTGCCCTTTAGGATTTAAATCCAGCCACCACTCGTGCAGTAGCAAAATTTTGTACTGCTGCAATGATAATAAGAGTAAAACACCTCAAGAACCAAAGATCCTTATTCGTATTACAAGTTTGTTTAGTTATTTTCCAATCATTTTTAGAGAATGTATTTATTTTAATGATTACCTTTTGTGCTGATCTGTGACCATAATACAGACATGTCAAACACAAGGCCCGGGGGCCAGATGCGGCCCACGAAGTGGTTTCATGTGGCCCACAAAGCCATCCTGGAAACAGTGAGGGAATGGCCCCCGCTGCCTTGGCCCTGGCCCAGGCTGGCCGGGAGCCAATGTACAATTTTGTGGTGGCCATCTATGCTGAAAGGCATTCAGTCTTAGCTGCACAAGGCCGTCTGCAAACAGCGAGGAACCATCCCTTGCCGTGTTCGCCCTGCCCCCTGGGCGAGGAGGTGTCACTCTTTGTGAGGAATGAAGAAATGCACCATGCCTTGGCACTTGCCCCAGTCCCACCTCCTTCTGTCAGAGACCCTCAGAACTGTCCCACTCCTGCCCAGGCCCCCATAGCCACCCTTGATGCGAACGATGTAGAGTTGGCCATGCCCACCGAGTAGGCCACACCTCCAGCCATACCCATCCAGTAGGCTGCACCCACCCTGGCCACACCCACCCGGGCTCCCAAGGGCAACCGCAATGTTGATGCGGCCCTCAATGAAATTGAGTTTGACACCCCTGCCATAATAGATAGATTCTGATGCTGAATGTTACGATCGATGCCTTTTACATTGTAAATAGTAGGTAAAAGAGTGTAATACTGGATCAGAAGCTAATTTGAATATTTAAATATATCTGCCACTGAACTTCTCCCTTTTTCTTTTTCCAATGTTTTCTTTTCCATTGATTGTATCTTTCAACAAGGCAGCAGAGAGTGGGAGAAAATATAGGTATGCATTCTATTCGATAATGATAACGCTTTTTATAGGTCCACATGATCCAGGAGCTATATACTAGCTAAAATATACATACTATACATACATAATATTGACTTGCCATTATAAAAATAAACCTAGTTTGTTTCATTTTTTATTATTTTGTATAATAAAAATTATTATAAAATAATTATTTTAATATTTATTATATTTATAATCATTATTTTTATAAACAATACAAGGTGGTGAATATCCTTTCTCCTACTTTCTTCACAAAAAACACCTTGTGCAGTGGGTTAGGCTGAGTGACTGGCCCAAAGTCACCCAGCTGGCTTTCGTGGCTAAGGCACTAGAACTCATGGTCTCACAGTCTCTAGCCTAGAAGCTTAACCCCGGACTAAATTAGTTTAAAGCTTCAACCTCATTCTGAGTCCCATCCTTAAAACACAGTTATATAAATGTGTCGTTATCTTTTATGACAATCTTTGTCAAACTATTGTTGGGCTTTTCTGACAGTTTGGCTGGCAGCCTTGTATCATTGTTTTAGGATATTTCAATCAATAACTTATGTTTCAGATCGCCATTGCTTTTGGTTCAAATTCACTGGATGTTTTTCCATTACACAAAATAGAGTAAAGCAGAAATGTAATTTCACTGTAAAATCAGCATATATTGATTTAAAAAACATGTAAACCAAAAGGTTCTCGGTTTAAAACTTAGTAGACTTATTTTTAAAATCCAAATCCATAAATGAATTTACCATATTCAGAACTGATTAGATTTATATTAAGCTCATCAGAATTAACAGCTCTTCTCACTTCAATCTTTTTTGTCCAGTTTCCAGTTTTCAGCAAAGCAGAATCCCTGCAAAGTACATGAGTCAATAGCTTAAAATTGAATATACAAAAATGTGTAATTGTTAAAGTTTCAAAATAGTTTAAATTTACTCACATAATCCTTTGTCTAAAAATCACATTATTATCATTATCTCCTATTACTAGGGTTGTATAATGAGAATCTGGAGCAGTTCTTTTTATCTGCAGCTGTTCAAAGTTGGTTAATATGATTGTCACTATGATTTCAGCTACTGCTTCGTTGTACTTTACCAGCTTGAAAATAAATGACATACAATTCAAAAATAAAACTAGCTTTGGCATACAATATGGTAAAGAAATATTAATACATTCATATTGACTGGAGTCAGATACCATACTAAGCTAGTTCAATGTTATGACACATGTGTAATGATGCCATCCCCCCAAATACCACCATAACAACCCAAAGTCTGATACATAAATTAGAAAATATAAAAAGAAGAATAACAGAGTTGGAAGGGATTAGAAGTCCAACCTTGTGCTCAAGCGGGAGACCCTATACTATTCCGGACAAATGGCTGTCCAATCATTTCTTTAAAATCTTCAGTGATGCAGCACCCACAACTTCTGAAGGCAAGCTGTTCTCACTGTCAGATAATTTTTCCCTAGTTCTAGGTTGGACCTCTCTTTAATAAGTTTCCATCCATTACTTGTTGTCTTGCCTTCAAGTACTTTGGAGAATAGGTTGACCCACTCTTCTTTGTGACATTCTCTCAAATATTGGAAGTCTGCTATCGTGTCACCCCTAGTTGGAGCATTTGTATGATGATCTTGTCATTCATGTATAATTTCCCTTGCCCTTGACCTATTGTATATGACCATAGTATTAACAAGCATTTAGAAAAGCAAGGCATATCAAACTGAGGAGAAAACATGGATGATGAGGAGATGCCTCTTAAGCAGCTGCTATATCTAGTTCCTAGACCACTCTTGCTTTGCAGGATTCATAGGCCTAGAGATCATACCTGGGTGCATTCCTTTTACCCTCCATACCATAGAATTAAATAATCCCAGGCAGAGTTAGACAATAGTTCTCTAAGCGCAAACGTCACTCATTAGTGATATGGCAGATAATATGACCAAATAGTGTTATGTTGCTATATTGTAATGAAGTATCTGTTGCTCTTGCCACTCAATTTCTCAGTTTTTCTAATCTATGATTAGAAATATTCACTATAGGCTTTCTAGTGTATCACACTTCATACTGTACTAGCTACTACATTTGACTCCAGTACATCATAATGAACTACTGGCTCCACAATTTAAAGACTTTTTTGGTAATTATTTAGTGCAGCACCTAAATCACAAGTATAGAATAGAATAGAATAGAATAGAATAGAATAGAATAGAATAGAATAGAATAGAAGCTGGGAGGGACCTTGGAGGTCTACTAATCCAGCTCCCCGCTCAAGCAGGAGAACCTATACCTTCTCCAGTACAGGAGATGGATAATCCACGGATGGGTTTTCTCTGTCTGCCTGCTCTTGAGACCAAGTAGCCAAAGCTTGACACGCCCCCACTTCCTGTGGAGTCCATTCTTAACTTGGTCTCTGCTCGAGAAGACTCGTTTTGGCGTGGCTCTCAGCTTATCAGGTTAGACAAGAAATCCATTGATTGATTATCCCTTGATAATTGGCTTCCCCTTCCAAAAAAATTTAACCACAAAATTTTCTGGGGATCAGTCCTGATCTCAAACCTAAAATTAAAAAGGGGATTGGTGGGGAGGGAAACTTCCCCACAGATATCAGACAGCCCCAGGGCTCTGGGGGGTGGAAAGGGGGGGAAGAAGGCATCAGCAGAGACTACTTGCTGAACCTTTCCCCCAACCACTAAGTTTTCCTTGGGATCATCCTATATTAAAATTGAAAAAGAGGGTGTGGGGGGGGAAACTCCCCATGGATCCCAGCCAGCCCCAGGGCTCTGGAGGTGGAAAAGGGGGGGGGAAAGGCATCAGCAGAGACCACTTGCTGAGCTTTTCTCCCCAACCTTCCAAGGGATTTTTTCCTCAAATTGGGGGAAAAAATAACAATCTCCAGGTCCGGATTCAAACTTGAATTCGGATCATCGGAGATTCCCTAGCAGCCCAGGGCAACCGCGGGCGCCATTTTAGTTGCCGTTTTCAGGCAACAAAGGCAATCCCTGACTGGGATTCCCTTAAAACGTCACCAGCGCGCCAAATTTAAATCCCCGGGCACAAGCAGCTTCTGGGAGGCTGCGGAGCTACATCATAATGAACTACTGGCTCCACAATTTAAAGACTTTTTTGGTAATTATTTAGTGCAGCACCTAAATCACAAGTATAGAATAGAATAGAATAGAATAGAATAGAATAGAATAGAATAGAATAGAATAGAAGCTGGGAGGGACCTTGGAGGTCTACTAATCCAGCTCCCCTCTCAAGCAGGAGAACCTATACCATCTCAGACAAGTGACTGTCTAGTCTCTTCTTAAAAACCCTCCAGTGATGGAGCGCCCACAATTTCTGAAGGCAAGCTGTTCCACTGATTAATTATTTTCACTGCTTGGAGGTTTGTCCTTAATTCCAGGTTGCTTCTCTCTTTGGCCAGTTTCCAACCATTGTTTCTCGTCCTTCCCTCTGGTGTTTTGATGAACAACCTGACCCCCTCTGCCTTGTGGCAGCCCCTCAGATACTGGAACATTGCTATCATGTCACCGCTATTTCTTCTTTTCTTTAGACTAGCCAAACCCAAGTCCTGCAGCCGTTATTCATATGTGTTGGTCTCCAGACCTCTGATCATTTTAGTTGCTCTTCTGTGAACTTTTTCCAAAGTCTCAACATCTTTTTTAGGAAGGAGAGTTTCTTCTAAGTTTTCTTTTCAATTCAGTTCTTTTGCAATGAGAACACAAAACCAAAATATACCTGCTCTATGTTAAGTTCATATTTTGGAAGATGTACTACTGATTCTTTAATTTGATTTCCAAAAGGAGGATGTCTGTTCAAAATCTGGAAATTTAAATTCAGATAGCATTCATATTAATTTAGAACATAGAACAATATTTGTTAAACAGAGCACAAAAGCTGTTCACAAAACATAGTTCTCCTAGCATTATATTGTTCTCATTTTTCTTTAAATCAGTCAAAATGGCAATAGTGCCATTTTGGGATTATTTATGTCAGTTTGTCTGTCTTCCTTATGGCACATCCACACAAACGTATACCATTGGATTGAAAATGCCTTGTCGAATGTTCATTAAAAATCTATCTCAATGCAGATTTCCCCTTATCCCCACCTATTACTGAAACAATTAACTCCAGATTTTTCCAAACCAGATGTGGAAATGCTGTTTTCAATCTTCTCCCAACACAAGCCTTGCATGATATACGGTATTTTGGCAGCATCTATATTGACAACATAGTTAGAAGCAGCAATCTGGTCAGGGAATGAAATCCAATAGTCTCTGCAATATAACCTACCCAGCAGGAAACTCTAAGCACAATTCTCCAGCCTCATTAATGAGGCAGAGTAAAAACCTGCTATGTAAATAGAGCAAATATATTCTGACCTTTTATATCCCACCTTACGGGTTGGAGAACAGGACATTAAACTGGCTATCTGGATAAGCCTTCAGGAGGATCTAAATAAATTTCCCCTATTCAACCAGCTACTTATTTTCAGCTGCCATTTCCAATCCTCCCCCATCACCAATTGCAGCTACCCACTGTTTGAATTTATCAAATGAAATAAGAATGGTAAAGACTATGTGTACTACAGCTATAACAAATAATTACATTTTTGTTCAACTCTTCTATCAGTTACAAATAATTCTGCAATTCTGGCAGTATGAATTCCTTTTCTGTTTTTCTCACCTTAGATACCTTACTATACTAGTATCTGGACTTGAAAAACTATGAATTCCTGGCAACAGAATATTTTGAAAATGCCGCTTATATCATTACTCAATACATTTAAAAAAATGTTATACATAATCTCAGGAAGAATGAATCTAGTATAGTGTGAACAGAAAGTCTCTTGTGTTAAGGCATTTTTCTATCTCTCCTCCCTATAACAGACTTATCAAAAAATCTGGAGTAGTTTTTGAACGTATAAGGAAAGCTATGGAGAAAAAAGACCTCCCTTATTACCACTTCTGCAGACGGAAATACTCATTTCACTGGAAAAACAATTGTGCATTCCTTCAAGATATTTATATGATTTATTTAAAAAACAGCAAAATACAAATTGGATAACATGTAGAATAATATATGTAAACACAGAGAATAAAAATTATAAAATAAGTACCAATTCAAGCTCTCTTGCATTTATATCTTCTATTTTTTTAAAGGAGGTCAGTCCTGCATTCATCATTGCATTTGATAAAGTCATGCCTGTTGAAAACGGAAATATGCTAAAGATTAATTTATCAAATTGCATTTCCTCATAACTTATCTTTTTTACTAGTAAGCAAATCTAAAATATCATTTAAAGTAAGCATAATAATATCTACTCTGAAATATATTTTTAAATGGCCATCTGTCAGGGTGCGGTGGCTTATGGTTTAAGGATGGTGAGGTTTGACTAGATTGCAGTTTGGGTGGTTTATCCCTGGAGGTATTTTAGACTGAAGGGCAGGATAATAGGGAAAAAGGGCAACAACAGCAGAGATTATTGGCAAAGTCCAAAGCACCAACGTTATCTAGCTGAGTGGCTAAAGCAACGGTATGGTGGTTCTCCATCCACTTAATAACTTGAGAAGTAGCTTAATGATCACAACTGAAAGTGCTGGGATTGCAATCATTGAGCAAAGCAGTCACAGTTACTAACTGCTTTGCTCAACAACCAATATTACAGTCCCAATTTAGGTTGTTAAGCAAGGATTACCTGTAATTATTTTAAATCTAATATTTAAAAATACAATAGAAAATCTAGGAATCATCCTCAATATTATTTTGCAGTTTGTACTTCTAATGTATAACATACTACTGTACAAAATTCTCATCACTGTTGCCACTTCCTTTTGTAAAGCTAAGCAGCATATTAATTAAACTAAGAAAAGTCTAAGAAATATGCATGGATTCTGAATATTTTCACAAGTGATGAGATTGAAATGATTGGACTTTACCCTAAATAGAAAAATGGTCAACGTTTGTATTGTATCCTAAGTTGAAAGGTAGAATAATTTTTATGGTACCTACCAATTTTTTCTAGCTGCTTGGATATATAGAGTGAATTTTCCCAAAGTCTACATCTGAAGCACTTTGCTAAAATCAAAGCGTTTAGTAATACAATAAAGTTGTTTTGACGGGTAGCCAGAAATTCAGATAACCCTACACAAGAAAAGAAACAAGTGTAAAAAACAGAAAGAGATAGAAAAAAATACATGCTAGGGTATACTGTATAATCATTATTACATTATATGGTTCATTGCATAGTAAGCCAGATGTTCAGACTGGATTTGACATTTTTGTCTACCTACTGAATTCTTTTCAAGGACCTGGAATAGGCAAATTTAGATATTTGATGGTATTACAGATATCGTCACAGGATGTAAGCTTATTATTATTATTTAAAATACATTGCTTTTCTTTTTTACTTTTATAAATCACTCAGACTTATTAGAAAATGAATGACTCTAGAAATTTAAATTAGTGACAGACTCATTTAGTGACCGTCTCCAGTTATGATGGTGATTACAAAAATAACTTTGTGTCCAGTCTTTGCAGATCTGTAAAGCAAAGGAAAGCTGAACATTGTAAAATTGCACTGTTTTAACTGAGTTGCCAGTTCCATTTTTGGTCACTAAACAAGAATTAGCTGTACACAAATATGTAATAAAAATAGTCATTTTAAATTTTACCATACATTTTGTAAGTCTTATGCCATTTCTAAAAATGTTTCCTATATCTTGCGTCAAGGTGAAATCTTGGATGGGAATGCATCCTAACTGTGCCTGAATAAGACTGAAAAAGAAGTTATAAATTATTGAAAACACCAATATGTAAATATTATAAACAGTAAATCCACTGATTTTTAAAAAACAAGCTCAATAGCAATAGCACTTAGACTTATATATCGCTTCACAGTGCTTTACAGCCCTCTCTAAGCAGTTTACAGAGTAAGCCTATTGCCCCCAACAATCTGGGTCCTCATTTTACCAACCCCAGAAGGATGCAAGGCTGAGTCAACCTTGAGCCGGTGAGACTTGAACTGCCAAACTGCTGGCAGCCAGCAGTCAGGAGAATAAGCCTGCAGTACTGCATTGTAACCGCTAGAGCCACCACGGCTCTAGATAAAATCTAGAGAGGATGGAGTATAAGAAAATACCATACAATAATTCATCAATAATCCTTATTACTATTTTAAAACAATAATAATATATTGCATAAAATAATTACCAGTTTACTTTCATTTCTCTTGTTTTTATTTTTCCTTCCATTGGATATCTGTACATAAAATATACATGTTTTTATTTACGTGCTAAATAAATGGCATTAATTTAGAACATAAAATGAGATGCATTTCCCATTATCAAAATGATATAGCAGTATCATACATATAAACAAGAGTTCAGTAAGATTTATTTAAGAACTATATTACTATAGAGTTATAGTTTCAGAGCAGGGTTATTGGACTTGTGGCCCTCCAGATGCTCTTGAATTAATCTATTCAGTTTCGGCCATGTGGACTTGAGATGGGGTTTGCCAATCTCCGGGGAAATAAAATTTCTCCATACTTTATGGCTTCAAATGTGCACATTTTAACACTGAAAGCTCGAAGGGGTGTGGCTCCCCACACACTGATCCCAGTGAGCTCCTCATTTTTTGAGAGATCTCAAAAACAAGTAAAGAGATGTTTGGACATTTCCTAATGGTGAGTACAACTGGACACTTGAGCTTACTCTTTCATAATACATTCAGCAGAGCAGGCTTGCTGATCTACTTTATTGCATCTCTAAGTCAGGTGCACTGTTTAAAATGTTCTGGCTCCTACTGGCCATAAGACCAAGCTATTAAAATTTTTTGTTATTCTTTTGTTGAGCAATTTGTGTATAAAACTGTTCTTACTCATTCTGAGTTGGAAGCTGGATAGAAAGAATCTTTAGATGACAGATATATCATCTTGTAATGTTACACAAAACAATTTTGTGGACTGGAGGAAGTCGGTTCATTGGGAGGGGAAGAGAGTAACCATCATTGCCAATTGAATCTTCAGTGGTTCAGTGGTGTTAATCATAGTATCCTTCTGGACAATTTGTATGGGTTTGAAGGCACAGTATAACAGCATTTCTATCCCTTGCTGAGTAGGTAGGTCCCATTTTGTGTTGGAAGCAACAGGTTGGTCCCTCCAGTATGAAGTATCCCAGAGCTCAGTTTTTTCTTAATCTTATTTAATATTCATGCAAAGCTGCTGGCAGAGATTATCTTTCAGTTCACAGTGAGACGATATCAACATGTGAATGATACAAAGCTGCATCGTCTAGCAAATAGGAGATCTGGTAGAAGTTATGACCTGGTGTTTGGAAACTTAGAAGGGGAGAAACAGGTTCAGACTCAATCCAAGCAAGTTTGGGTTAAAGCCTACTAATCCCCCCAAAAATACCATAATAGATTCTTGATGAGATTGTGTTTCCCCAAGAACAGCAAGTTTGCAATCTGGAAGTCCTTTTGAATTTTGGGGCTCTTGCTGGAACAGCAGGTAAAGGACATAGCCAGGAACATCTTTGCCCAAGCATTGAAATTTCCAATATGAAATAGAATTAATTGTAAGTAGGACACAATTTATAATAACTTAGCGCATAGATTTTAAGCACATACACTATGCAGAAAACAAAAATGTTGCTGTAATTAAAATTACTCCTTAGTCAAAAATAATTTTAAATTTGTACCTTATATTCATCCACTTTTTATCTTTGTTCAAGGAATTCAGTACTTTTTTCTCATTTGTTCTTAATTTGATGTCTGAAAATTCACTGCAACCAGATATCAATACAACCTGCAATAGTTTCTTTCATTAATTTTGTTCTATTTTTGTTCTATTTATTTCAATATATATATTTAAGCACTTACTTTAAAAATTATCTAATTACTTGGATGGAATTGAGAGAAATAGGTTCAGAATTATCTCTGGCAATTCAGTTTTAATAGTTCACAAGACTTGATGGAGGTATTATTTAGTTTGTTTTTATTTGTGGTTGTTATTTTTATATGATTATTTAGCTTATCCATATTTGCGTGAAAACAGAATGCATTGATCTTAGTAGAATTTACTTTTGAACAGACATACATTGGATAATGTTGTTTTTATTACCAAGCCTAGTAGAATAATCTGTAGTTTTTCCTGGAATATAGCTGGACAGTAATAAGCAGCAGGAGGAGGAAAAACAATACATTCGTGTAACGGGTTAGTGCTGAGTACTGAGAAATTTACGAACCAAATTTTGAGAATAAAATATGTTGCTTACATTGCTGCTATTGTTTTATTATTCATTTCTTAACTTTATCCAAATTGTAAATATCAAGATACCACATATTGGTACATTTAACAGAATCCCTACACAAGTATGTAACACCCTAAAAAACAAAGAATCTGCTTTTAAAAGTATCCCATGCATTTGAGGCAGGAGGTTAAACAAGCTCTGACAACTACTGTTGTTCTATTATGAGTTGTAATAACTGTTCATGACCTCAGGCATTTATGGTTTAAGTTGCTTAAATTATTGCTTTTAACTTTGTATACTACCTAGAGTCGCTGCAGTGAGATGGGAGGTCATATAAATTGTATAAATAAATAAAATTTGATTGGTCCATATTTACCATAATTGTACAGTAAGGATAAAACCTGGCTTTACATATTAATTTATCTCATTACTGCATTTCATTGAATACTTTTAATTTTTTCTATAAACAGACTGACAAAATATGACTGACACTTCTGAAAATCAGGATAATATCATACAGCGACAGTTGGCAGAGCATTATAATGAACCCATGTTTATTTATGTAACATCAAATACATTCAAAATTAAATGGGAACTAAATTTCATTGATACATAATCTCATTGCTATCATACAAATGCCAAAATTCACAATTCAGTGAATATTGTTCAAATTCTCATGCACAGACAAACTTGCCAAATCATATCTCAAATAGTCTAATAATGGGGGAAAAACCCACTATAGACAAACAAGAAAAGCAATGAAAAATATTTGTCTGTTTTGCCTTTCTATGTTATATAATCATTAAAAAATAAAACAGTTTAAATATCCTGCTTACATTTATTGTTTCATGTATTGCTGTGGTTCTCAAATAATATGTTTCAGCACAAAAACTCTGTCATAAAACCAGATTAATGGCTTTTTCATATTTCTTTCATTAGGTTTTTAGTCCAAATATTATCCAAATACAGGGAAAATTATGTGTGACATTTCAAGGCAAAGTGAGATTTAATTGCTCCACAGGATAAGTAAATTGCCTAAGCAAAACAGATAACGTCTCCCAATTTTTTAGAAAATTAATTTTTAATTTAGAAATTGTGGACAGATTGGGTTCATTTTGTCCAGATTGACCTTAAAAATGGATTAGATTATTTATTCATTTACTCAGTATGTATGACCCCCCCCAACTTATCACAGTAACTCTGAGCAGCTAATAGCATATAAAAAGAGTAAAAAATAAACGTAGGCAACAATATATTGACCTTAGATCTGTAACATCCACTTTAGCTATTCTGTACTAAATACTGTACTAAAGCTGAACCACAATAAATGTATACAAATAATATAAGTAATAAAGGCAAAAAGAAAGATGAAAAGTTGTATGCACTCAGTATTAGTTATTTATTTAAAGTCTAAAATGTTAAAAGTCTAAAATGTAATAAGATTTGACATCTGCAGCAAGAATTTTAGAAAAAATATTACAGTACTTTAATATGAAAGCCAAGTTGGTCAGTAGTTAAGGCACCAGGATAAAATTCAAGAGACCATGAGGTCCAATCCCACCTTAGGCACAAAGCCACCTGGGTTCCCTTGGGCCAATCACTCTCTTTCAGCCCTAGGAAGCAAGCAATTACAAACTTCTGAAATCTTACTAGTGAGAAATAATGATTTGGTAATGTGGTGTAATGTAACGTGGTCTTCTTTAAACCTTTATGGCTTGATGGCCCACGGAGGGATAGAGGGGAATCGGGCTTTGAGTGGTGGGCCAATGTGCACACACATACACGCACAGGTTGGTGCGAGTAACTTGTGTGAGTGACAGGTTGGTGTTCACATGCATGTGTGCACAGTTCAACTTGCACAAGTTGAGCTGTGTGCACGTGTGCATGCGTGCCGGCCTGCCACTTGTGCAAGTCGAGCTGCATGCGCATGTGCCCATAGCTCGTAGGGCCTGATTCCAAATAGGCCACAGCCCAGTAGTCCAGGGGCTGGGGACCCCTGCTTTAAATAGACCATTCTTGTGAGCCAAAGAGAACTGGTGATCCAGTTCCACAAATGTTATTTTCAAGTTAAACAGATTGTTTTCCAATAACTTTGCATTAGAGTTTAATGCCATTCCTGATAATTGTATATAACTGTACTATACAAATTCTTCTAGTAGCTTGCACAATAATTAATGAAGTACAAGTAATTTCTTCTCCAGCTCACAACTCTGATCACAGATCTAAGCCAAATGGCATAAATTATGTAAAGTTTCAATAAAAAACAACTTTCAAAAATCTGAAACAGTAAATGAGTTTTCAGCTTTGTAAGAATATTAATTCTTCATATCAATAATAACATTACCAGTTCAGATAAAGTTACTGTTCCATTAATCATGAAACACTTTTTTACAGTATCAAATGCAATATAATACCAAGCCATCTGTCGTCCAGTTTCTGTAGAAAAAAATAAGTATATAAAACAATTAAATATTTTTAATAAGTGAAATATAAAAGGCAATTTTTAATAGTTGAATAATAGCTTTAAATTACACGAACACATATGTTAGGAAAACCCTTTTTTAATAGTAAGTTCTTCTTTGGAACCAATTATCTAGGGAAGTGGGAGGTTCCTCTTCACTGGATTGGCTAGACAACCATCAGTTTGGGATGTTTCAATTTAGATTCTTGCATTGAGTACAATATTTGGCTCAATGATCTAAAGGGAACTTCCAACTCTTATTATTTTGTGACATTGATTTTAACTCAAAGGACTTTGAATTATTTTTAGCTACTCATCTTTATTAAGGTGACCAACTTTTTTACAATGAAAAGGAGGACAAAAATAAATTGAAGAAAAAAATATCATAAATAAAAGAAACATTTTATTCATTGCAACAATAATACAGACAACTTGCATGTGCAAAGTTTGCCAGCCGGGTGTTTTGGCACGCTCAGCAGCAATTCCCATTGGCTTTCGAAAGCCAATAGTGGGAGTAGCACAGCTCATGCAAAAGTTGAAAAAAAAACACATCAAAAAAAGATGCCAGAATGCCGTTCTGAGCGTTCTATGAGGGGGAAAAAAAGCCCTGCAGATTAGTCTTCAAATATCAAAAAGGAGGACATGAAGGAGGACACTTTTTGAGGGAGGACAGAACTTACAAAAGGAGGACTGTCCTCCCTAAAGGAGGACGGTTGGTCACTTATCTTTATAGAATAGGAACATATCAAAAATTAGATTTAACAACAAAATATGTTTTAATCTATTCACTGGCCTATCTAATTACAACATGTTCAGTATACCATTTCAAAGAGAAAATGTTATTACTATTTAAGACTATACACACATTCAAAAAATATTCATGAGTTTTCCACACTCCCAGAACTGAGAACAATCCCACAGAACTTTGAGAAATATTGCCCCCATTATTTTTTATTGGCCTTATAATCCTGCTTTTCTACAAATCTGAAAAAGATTGTCGTGTTCTTTTGGTTGTCCATTGGTTAATTTTCTGGTTGAATTCCATGATCCTCAGAAGAAATGTGAATAATATCAGTGGGAGTTTTCCACAGGAAGATGAGTCTAGCTACTACTCTTTCATACATATGTGACAGTGACTTAAAGTCTCAAGTTTCTGCAGCCCTTACCAATTTTCCTAGCTCAATCTAATAATACATATATCTTATCAAGAAGCTGCCCTTAATTTATGGAATGCTCTAAGGAAAGGAGGAACAAAGTTTGTAACAGGAATTGGTCACAGTTAACACTTTTCTGAGACCTGAGAGTTGCAGTGAGTAGTGCCATGATATGGGTAGGCAGAACTATGACACTATAAATGTGGCTAACATATTTTGTCCTGATTTTATTTTCTATTGGATTTTTTTAAAAAATACTGTTATGCTTATTTTATGGCTGATATTTCAATTTTCAGGTGTTTACTGAGAATGATAAAAACTACATTATCCATTTTCAGTCATTATGGAAAGAAACAAATGGATACATAACAGAGACTTGTGAGATGTATGAAGTCTTGCAATTGCAGATTGCCCTAGGGCACAGCTTTTATGAGAACAATGCAAGCCCCCCAAAACATTTGAAATATTAAAAAATAAATTCCGAACATTCAGATAATAGAGATTATGTAATATTACCTGTGGTTTTGAAATAGAGATTATCATCCATTTTGATCAAATCAAGCGAGGACAAATCATTCAAATTCTTCAAACACAGTTCTGTCCAAATTGAAGTGATAATTTTTGACAGGCAGGGAAAAAAAATCATTTTTGCAGGTAGAAAAAGCAGAAGAACATTTATCTATCTGCTGTGAACAGACAAACCCTGGTTCAACTCAGGCAAGGCAAGCACTTCTATTCCCCACATTCACTCACCCTGTTTCCCAGACATAAAACCAACTCCTTAAATATCTATGTAATAGCTATGAACATGTGACCAAACAAGAAAAACAAGTTTACACTTGCCCAGATAAAATAAAGGGTTTTCTTGATGAGTTTAAAATCTTAGCCTCACATAAAAGTAGGGAGTTGCGGAGAAGGTTCTTTTCAGATCCACCTTTGTTTGGGAAAAGGCTTTGTTTTGGGACAAAAGGGAAACTGCATGGCTGAAAGGGAAGGAAAAAAGCTCTTCTGGGAAAAGACCAAAAAGGAAGATGCAAGAGGGAGAAGATGTAAGCAAGATAGACTGAAAATGACCACATATGCCTAATGAGTAGATCCCATTACTTAGGAAACTAAGTAATGCTGAAGTGGAAGGAAGCACAATATCGGTAAAAGTAGACGTGAACTTTGGGATTGGAAGTGAAAGTAGATATGGCTTGGAACCAAAACATCTTTGGGGGCAGAGAAATAGGTTTGCTTTATTCAGAAAGGCAGAAATTCTAGGTGAAGGGAAAAGAATTCTAGAGTTGGTGGTAAGAGCAGAGCTATCTGCCTCTGGGCTAGAGGGAAAAAGAAAGCCACTTCATTGTGGTCCAATAATCTCTAAGGGATCAACAGGAGCTAAGAGGATAAACAAAAGAATTAGCAGAACTAGTACTAGGATGCGAAGCAAAATGAGCAAACAAATTTAAATATCAAATTAAAGCCTATTTAAATACGTTGTTCTTTGCGTTTTCAAGAAATCTGACCTTGTAATTTTGCTTCAATCCCATTTCTGTCAAGTCCAGCTGAAAACCCTTGATTAAAAGAATATATTTGATTATTAATACTTAATTTGTAAAAGAATAATGTGCAGTTCCTTTGTTATAGAAACCTATGCAAAGTTTTGCAATCAACAGATTTGTATATTAAGCACACAATTTATTATGGGACACAAAAGGATGCCTAAAGAGATTTATAAATTATTTATTAATTTGACCTTTAAAATTATTCAAGTTTAAACAAACCCCCCCCCCCACATTATACAGTTTGGGCTTTTATTTATTTAATCATTGTCATCAGCCACAAGTAAATTAAAAAAGTATGTATGTATGTATGTATGTATGTATCTCTTTTATATACATACACATGTACCATCTCTTCTTGTGCAATTTCCAACTTCTGGAACAGATTTCCAGTACCTGCTGGTACATTGCTACACATATTGTTGTCCTTCCAATATAGAAGGAACAGTGGATAAGAAGAACTATACATCATACACTATATTTTAGAATGTATCAACACATAAATTCATGCTATAGTCCATAAGTGGTCAGCTAGTGATCTAGATCAGAGGTGTCAAATGCCGGCCCAAGGGCCGGATGCGTCATGCCGAAACTGTGCCCACCCCATTGCCGGCAATGGAAAAAAGTTGTGAAACGTCATGACACATCACATGACGTTGCATGTTTGATACCCCTGATCTAGATATACCAGAAATTTCAAATTTTCCTTGAAACTGGCTTGTAGAACTAAAGCAGGGGTAGGCAACCCAAAACACTCAAAGAGCCACTTGGACCAGTTTCCCACTGAAAACAAAACACTGGGAGCCGCAAAACCCTTTTGATATCTATATATCTATATCTATATACCTATATCTATCTATATCTATTTATCTGTCTGTCTGTCTGTCTGTCTATCTGTCTGTCTGTCTATCTATCTATATCATAAAGGTGAAAAAAGGATATATGCAGTGTTATCTTCATTTTAGATATCAAAAGGGTTTTTCCTCTCCCTCCCTCTCTCTTTCTCTCTCTCTTTCTCTCTCTCTTTCTCTCTCTCTCTCTCTCTCTCTCTCTCTCTCTCTCTCTCTCTCTCTCTCTCTCTCTCTCTCCCCTCTCTCCGATCTTCTGCTCACCTGGCAAGCTGGCTTCAAGTTGTTCTCCAACAAGCTCAGGGGTAGGCAACCTTGGCTCTTTTATGACTCATGGACTTCAACTCCCAGAATTCCTAGCTGGGCTATCTAGCTCTCTCCTGCCCTTCCTGCTTCCTGTTTCCTGCCTGCAGAGACGCAGCAAAGGGAGGAGCCCCGCCCAATAAGCTTTGCAGCTCATCGGAGAACACCATGAGTCCATTCTTTTTTACAGAGAGAGAGAGAGAGAGAGAGAGAAAAGCAGGGAAGCGCAAGTGCCTCTCTCTGTCTCTCTCTGCAAATGGCAAAGGAGGCTGGGAGCCGCAGGGGAAGGCTCAAAGAGCCACATGTGGCTCTGGAGCCGCAGGTTGCCAACCTGTGAACTAAAGTAACTGCTGCTTGTTGTTCTCACATATAACAATCTGTCATAGTGCTTCATCTTAGGAATTGAACATCCTCTTCTTAGAGCTCTGAATTTCTCCTTTCCTCCTTTAACACAAGCATTCTAATTGCACATATAAATATTTGTTCATTATTCATGAAACAACAAAATAATCTGTTCTAGAAATAAAAATGGCTTAGAAAATAATATTCAGTTTTCATAGTTCAAAATGCTTTCAGCATTTGACATTTTCCCTATTTTCTATTTCTATTTTTTAAAAACTCAGTTTATTACAGAAAAAGCAAGACAGCATTCAAACATTAACATTTGTTCCATTATATTTGTGGTAACAAATATAGACCTTTATTTTTTTTAAAAAAAATACTTATTTTTGTGAATAATTTTGCAGTGACTACTACAAAGATTTTATACGTGCTTTCATCTCTCTCTTACTTTCTCTCTTGCTCTTTCTCTCACACATACACACATATATACAAAATCAGTGTGAAAACAGATGTAGAGAAAGGTGCTAAATGTCCTAACTGTTATCATTTAAGGGCATTTCAAGAAAGTAAGTATTTCATTTACCACTTTTTCTCTCCCCCCTTTCTTTCACAGTTCTAAAAAGCAGCTGTTCCATATACAGAGAGATCCTACTGTGCTGAACTCTGCAGAATGCCTTATGCTGTGGTGATGACAGCAAGAAGGATCAGTGAAGAAACAGAAATTCTGCCTTTGGGGAAAATAGATCTGCATTCACTTGATATAAAATAGTGTATGAATTTTAATGTTCTCATTTGATCCTCTATAAAAACAAGCTTATTTAGCTGAAAACTTTAGAAAGATTATACAGCATTCAAGAAAGTGAATTCATCTTTTTCAAAAGCAGGCAACCTAATACTTACTGTAGGGAACAAAATACTATCTGTATCACATTCCAATATGCTACTGACATTTTAATATTCTGAAATATTGCAGAGAAACAGTTATCAGACTTTTACAAAAGAAATTGCAATATGAATCTGCAAAAAGCTGTTAGAAGTCTAAGTATCCTCAAGTCTATATACGGAACAAGAAGAAATAGGAGCTTCAGCTACAATATCCCAGACTAATTTTCTGTTTCCAGTTCTCCAGTATAATTTTAACTTTCCATTTTGACTGCTTAAATCCAAGCATACCATTTATAAGCTTGATAAAAATTCTAATTTGTAATCCAGGATGATAATTTATCAAGCACTTTACAGACTATGAAATAGTTAGTAAGCAAAAGATACATCAAAATACAAAAGAGGTTCAATATTCATAAAAGATTTTGCCAAATCTGTTTTGAATTACGTACATAGCTACAGATAATGTAAGGAAAATGTACATTACTTGACTGGGCTTCAGTAATTTTTCCAAACACTTTTACTAAGTGTTGGAGGCATCTATATTTTCATCTGTGTATGTAATAAAATAATATGTTGCATCTATGTGTATGTATATAAGTATGCACTGAAATGGACAAGGCAGGCTGTCCACTCTTTGCTCTTGGTCATATGATTAAGAAGAATGAGAGAGGGGAGTTTAGAATGGAGGTACTAAAAACTATCACCCAACTGAATCTCCCATAGGGATGCATTGGGGATTTTTTTTTTCCTGGAAAGTTTTCCTCAGTTCCCAGCTTGCTCAAGAATGTTCAAGATGAACATAAGCAATAAGACAGAGATTTTCAACCTTTTCACCCATTGTAACACTTTTAGGATATGACAACATCCGAATACCACCAGTCGCCTAACAAGGTGTCAAAAACTTGATGACCAAAAAAAAAAAAAGGAAAAAGTGATAAAATACAGGTAGTCCTCGACTTACAACAGTTCGCTTAGTGACTGTTGAAAATTACAATGGCATTGAAAAAAGTGCTCCCCAAGCCACAGCTGAGCAAGACACCTGCCTGCCCGCCCAACGGTGCTCTTCCTCCTGTCTGAGGTTTTCATTGTTGTGAGCATTTCTGTTGAGGATTGGCAGTGGGGGTGAGGTGGGGGGTGTTTGGTTTTTATTCCCCCTCCTGTCTGCTGGGTGGTTGCAGCAGGTTTTGGTCACTTCACATGACCCTGGGACACTGTGACCATCATAAATATGAATCAGTTACCAAGCATCTGAATGTAAATCACAAGACCCTGGAGATGCCACAACATTCCAGCTAATTGGCGCTTCTTCTGAACTCAGCAGAAGGGCCAGGATCAGCGCCGAGCTCCAGCTGGTACCTGGCGCTCATCCTGGCGCTTTCGCTGAGCCCTGGCAGCCCTGAAAAAGCGCCGATCAGCTGGAAAGTGGCACTGATCCTGGTGCTTCTGCTGAGCCCTGACAGCCCTGCAGCCCCAGCCATCTCTTGCTCAGGCTTGTGCGGTGCTGCCACCGGTTCAGCTCATTTCCCTCCCCCGCTACCACTTTTCTAGAATGGTCGCGTACCACCTGCCAGGTGCCAATGTACCATAGGTGGTACCCGTACCACTGGTTGAAAAGCCCTGCAATAAGAGACTACATATTCTGATCGTCTAGACTTGTACTGAAAAGGGAAATGTATAAGAAATATCTTTAATGTTTTCTATAAATTATTTCTCAACAGAAAACTGTTTTATCATAAGAAATTATCACATCAGTTTTTAATTGTCTATTTCAATTCACAAATTTTAAGTGCCACCTACCATAATAAGTTGGATTCTTCAAAGCTCTGATATAGAGGAAAGTTGATTTCACCCATTCTAAAGCTATGTTCACATCAGTGATGGTGTGAAGCACTATTTCAGCATTTAAGTGCTCAATTAGATGTTTGTGCAAACTAATATAAAAAGAGAGAGAAAATGAAAAAAATAAGATACAAATTAAATGCATAAATATATATATATTATTACCAACCCAGTTTATTCTTAAATAGACTAGAGAACTAGTGATTTGGAATCTAGGGCTGAACCCCTTAAATATAAATATTTAAAAGAATAATACATTTAATTAAGTAATATTAAATATTAAGATGTAAATAGTTGATTTCATTTCTTTATAAAGACATTTTTATGTCATCCAAAGGAAAAAACAACAAAACCTGACAGCCTTCAGCATAGGCCTACTACAGTCTGATTTCTTCTAAGGATCTTGAATTCTCTAGCTGAAATTTTCAAACTCAGAAGCAAATCTTAAAATACCTCAAGTACACTGAACATTTTATTCAAATGATAGAAGCTTGAGACAGTAGTTCTGAATATGAAATCAAATATGAAACAATCCAAGTTTAAATTTGGATTTGCCTAGTTGCACTACCTAGAGCAGTGGTTCTCAACCTGTGGGTCGGGACCCCATTTGGGGTCGAATGACCATTTCATGGGCGTCGCCAAACAACACAGTCCGCCATTTTTTTCCCCTTTTCCTTAGCTGTGCTACTCCCTTTTATTCTATTGGCTTTTGAAAGCCAATAGAATAGACTCTCTTGAATAGAGTCTAATTCTATTGGCTTTCAAAAGCCAATAGGAATTGTCCAGGCTGTCTCTGCTCTGCTGAGCCTGCCAAAAGTCCCATTCTGCAAACAGTGCTGCACCAATTGAGTAGTCCTCGACTTACGACCAGTTGAGTAGTCCTCGGCTTACGACCGGCTGGGGGTCGCGGCATTAAACAGGTTGAGAACCACAGACCTAGAGAAACATTTTTAGCAATAATCAAACAAATATGGACAGCATTTCTAGCTACATATTAAAAATAATTTTAGTTACCTGCTTTCTATTGTATCTGCACCATTTAACATATGAACATACTTGTCTCTTGTACTTAGCCTTGTCATGATAACTGCTGTTGCTGTTGTATCAAACTGTGGGAAAAATATATATACAATACACCTTTTCAAGCATAATAGGAAGTAAGCAAACTGAGGTCTTTGGGATTTGTAATTCTAAAAGCTTTAGGAAAGAATCTTCTTGTTGTTATTATTATTAGTTAATTCAAGACATTATTTGTTATTGAAAACCCGACAGGGAATTTCTGAAATGTAAAGAGGTCATAAAATACTTTAATTCAATTAAAAAAACACTTCACAAATAAAATGATGCTTCACCCTCTATTAAAATATTATAAATAAATATAAAACCAGGACTCTCATTTAAGAGATTTTTTAGGATCAATAAGGAGTATGGAATTTCCAGTTTTGCATCATAGCAATGCTGCAGAGGGATTGTGGGACTCCGCACCGCATGGCTGATTTCATCCTGCCAGGGGACCCTAAGTGGCTTGTGTTGTCCAGACACTTAAATGTAATTCATTTTAAGAAAATTATAATTGACAAGAATGTTTTGAATATTGTGGGGAAATTAAGCTCAAATAAGAACTTTGAAAACAGGACTTATAGTGATTTAATAAAATAACTTTTCAAAAATACAATTGAAACATAAGCTGATTATAAAAAATATTATACACTGATGTTAATGTTATTTTTATAAATACTACAAAAATATTTATATTTAACTTTGTATGTATTGAAAGTATTAAGAATTGTATTCACTCAATGTTGGTAAAAGGAAAATACTATTGGAAGAAGAGAAGATCAAAGAAATGTATCACTAGTTAGTATGTTGACTATGGAATCATAGAAATTAACTATTATTGATTGTTGTTAAATATATGAATTGAGACAACACGTTTTTTACCAAGCTCTAAAGATTGTTATTGTAAAAAATTATATATATTGTTTTCTGAGGTTTTCGCGGGTATTTGTATGTAGGTCTTTGGTTGTTCGGGTTTTCTCCCGCGTAAAATTGGAAGTGTCTTGGCGACGTTTCGACGAAGTCCCATTCGTCATCTTCAGGCTGGTGTTTTCAGCTTCGTGCTTTGAGCAGCAATGTGTGGTCTTAGCTGTTTCTTCCTTTTAACTGCCAGTGGGGGTATGAACTGATTGGGTGGGAGCTTGGCTGTGTTCTGATTGGGTGGAGGTGTGTTCTGAATGGTTAGGGGCTTGGCTGTGCTCTGATTGGCTGGGGGAGTGTTCTGTTTGGTTGTGCTCAGGTTAGTCTGAGTTGCAGAGGGGTTTAAGATTTTGGGCTGCCTTGCTATTTTCTGGCTTCGTGTTCGTGGTCGTGCCTCCTCTTCATGGAGGGTGTCAGTTTGCTTCATGTATGGATTGGAGGGGTTTAAAGTGGCTAATGATGCAGCTGTGGTCTGGCTTCTGGTTTGTGGTCGTGCCTCGTCATCGGTGTGGCTTTGGGTTTGTTTTTTGCGTGGATGTGTGGTGGTGACATCCTGTGTGGTTTTTGTGAGTGTGGGTCTGGTATCACCCAGCACAGATCAACTCTGTAGCCAAGACACTCATCTCCAGAACAAAACGCTTAGCTGACGAACAACACCTAAAACCCGAACTACACACTCTCACCAATGTACTAACATCCAATGGATTCCATAGAAATAAGATTACAAACCTAATCCAAAAAGAAACCCCCACTAAAATCCAAGACAAAGAACAAGAAAACGGCAAAGCCCTCCTCCCATACATAAAAGGCACCACAGACAGAATCAGTAAGATCCTCCATAAACACAACATCAAAACAGCATTCTGCACAAACAGAAAAATATCCACCATCCTTAGAAACCCCAAAGATAAAATTGAATTAGAAAATCAAGGAGTATACGAAATCCCATGCACCACTTGTCCCACCACATACATCGGACAAACCAACAGAAGAATAAGTGCACGCATTGAAGAACATAAGAACTCAGTCAAAAAAGAGGAACCAACATCTTCCCTGGTCCAACACCTTAAAGCCACAGGACATGAAATTGACTTTAAAAATACCAGAACCATTGCCAAAAGTGAACATTTTAATAACAGAATAATCAGAGAAGCCATCGAGATAGAAAAACGCCCACACAGCATGAACAAGCGAGATGATACCTCCCGCCTACCAGCCATTTGGAAACCCGCCCTTATTGACAAACGACTTCCTAACACAAAAAATGATACCAGACCCACACTCACAAAAACCACACAGGAGGTCACCACCACACATCCACGCAAAAAACAAACCCAAAGCCACACCGATGACGAGGCACGACCACAAACCAGAAGCCAGACCACAGCTGCATCATTAGCCACTTTAAACCCCTCCAATCCATACATGAAGCAAACTGACACCCTCCATGAAGAGGAGGCACGACCACGAACGCGAAGCCAGAAAATAGCAAGGCAGCCCAAAATCTTAAACCCCTCTGCAACTCAGACTAACCTGAGCACAACCAAACAGAACACTCCCCCAGCCAATCAGAGCACAGCCAAGCCCCTAACCATTCAGAACACACCTCCACCCAATCAGAACACAGCCAAGCTCCCACCCAATCAGTTCATACCCCCACTGGCAGTTAAAAGGAAGAAACAGCTAAGACCACACATTGCTGCTCAAAGCACGAAGCTGAAAACACCAGCCTGAAGATGACGAATGGGACTTCGTCGAAACGTCGCCAAGACACTTCCAATTTTACGCGGGAGAAAACCCGAACAACCAGACCGAGTGCCCAAACTGCAACCCAAAACCCAGTTATGCATCATCGGGTGCCGGGTGGATGTGGCCCATTGGCTGGGTGTGGCCCATTGGGGGGCATGGTTGCGGTGGTAACGGCAGACTGGGTGGGACTAAAAAGTTCAATCAATCAATTCCAACTTTGCAAGATCTTTTTTTTTTTCCTGCGAGAAGTTGAAATTAACTGATTGATTGAACCTTTTTTTTTTTTGCACACGGCAGCGGAGGCCTAAAGCGAAAAGATTTTATAAAACCCAGCTGAAGGCTAGGACTGGGGCGACAGCGCACGTGCCCACAGAGAGGGCTTTGATTGCCGCCTTTGGCACCCGTGCCATAGATTCACCACCACTGACATTGATCTCCAAGACAGAAAGTTTTTATTGAGTACTAAGCTTTGGTTAGCCACTGCTAACATTGTCAAAGTGTAAGCTAACATCGTGTGTTTGCTCCAGCCGGTGGCCTCTCAGCCATGCTTGCCATGTCAATCGCACCAATTTGCTGTCTCATCCTTGATCTCGTAGTCGGTCCTGTCCATTCTCCCATCTCCTCAATCGTCATGGGTTCCAGCTATACAGGTACAGTATATCAGTTGATGTGTAGTGAGGATCTCTCACCTTTTTACCCTGAGTAATTACACGGGTGTTGACAGCGTGTTGGACCATGATGGTGGGGGGAGTGACCATGTGGCAACATCAGATGGTCGGACGCTATATGACAGGCATGTTTGGCTGGCGGGGCAAGCAGCAGGAGGCAAAGCGTTGAGAGCTAGGCAATGCTAGCCAATAAAATAGAGCTAAGATCAATATGTCCAATCACACGTTGGCGGTGGATTGATGGACCTATTAAGCACTCAGTAGCCAAATTACCGACACTTAAAGAGCTATAAAACAAAATCTTTCCAATATTAGCTTACAGTTTGACAATATTGGCTAACGAAAGCTTAGTGCTCAATAAAACTTTCTGTCCCAGAGAAGGAATATGGGCTGAACACTGCTCTAATAATTTCTTCATAAACTCATAGAATGAACATTAAAAATATCAAGTTTTGGATATTTTTAATATTTAATTCTATTAGAAATAGAATTTATATAAAAATTACACAAAATGGTAAAGTTGCCAGCATTCTACTTCATACACACTTTTCTTGCAGCCTTGCTTATCAGTTGCAAAAGTTAAAATATAAAATTAGAGCATTCTAGCTAGTGCTAACAAGTAAGTTCTTTTTTTCCTACTGATGTTTTACAGATTAATTCAGAAACATTTAACCTTCAACTTTAAACTCTAGTAACAACCGTAGGTTTTCTCAGCTATATTAATTTTTCAACAATAGTTCTAATGTGCTAATAAAAACTTTGAAAATAAGATGATGAAGCATTCATTTACAACATAATTAATATAACAAATGTGAGATATAATTTGGTGTAGTACTAAGGCACTAGGTTAGAAACAATGAGATTGTGAGTTCTAATTCAGCCTTGGGTACAAAGCCTGCTGCATGACCTTGGGCCTGTCATACCCTCTCTGCCCTAGGAAGCAGGCAATGGCAAACCAATTCTGAAAGCTTGCCAAGAAAACATCAGGGATTAATGCAGGTAGATGCTAAGAGTTAGCAATGATTCCAAGGCACACACACACACAAATCAAACATATCAAATGCCAAATTTTACTAAGATCATATAAAAGTTTCTTTAAAATAAATTAATCTTACTTGAGGTCTTCCTGCTCTCCCAATCATTTGCAAAATATCAGTTTCACTGTACTCTTGAAACATTCCTCCAGCATAATGCATTGTTGATTTTATAACTACCAGGTGTGCTGGTAAATTTACTCCCATGGCAAGTGTACTAGTAGTAACTGCAAAAATCAAATGTTAAAATGTTACAAGAGATGAGTTTTAAAAAACTGAATATTTTTATAATGTACCAGACTTTCTCCCTTTCAATACAATGAAGTGAGAAAAAAAAATTTTAAGCTTACTTTTTCAATTCTCTATCATAACATTATATATTATATTTTGCTGATACAACCCCTATTATTTCAATCCAGTATAATCAAATACTGTGTCAAATTGTAGCAAGTTATTTCATTTTGCATATATCATATGTAGCAACAGTATATATGGCACATATATCTAAAAGGCTGGAAAGTGGAGATATCTGTAGCTCACAATTAAAATTTTGAGATATTGATGTTTGCTGAACTTGGTTTCTTCTTCCAATGTTTCATTACCAAAGTAGCTAATATCATCAGTGCTCTGAACAAGGTAGTAGAGTTTACACACACAAAATTTAACAAACACATCTGTTGGGGTCAAAAAACTGATAATGTTACTAGTTTGGTAATGAAATATCTATAGGAAGTTAATTAGTGAAACTGAAATTCAGAAAATCTGCAACAAAAATAGGAATTTGACTCCAAGCCCTCTTCTTCATGTCCATAACTATGATTACTTTTCCATGCTGTGCTTCCTTTGTATTTAGATAACTTTGAATAGCATTTTTTTAAAAAATAATTATTAATTTACCAATAGGCCCTCCCAGAAATCCAGAATTTTCCAAAGTTATAATAAAAATAAAAAATGACAGCACATAAATATAAAAGTGCAAAAACCAACATCTCATCATGATACTTAATTTCAATATTATTAAGTGAAAAGGGGATAAACACCTATTCTAAGTCTTACCTTTGAAAATTAATTGCAAGCCAAATTACCCTTCTGTCCCCATACCACATTTATAAACTATCATAACAAATTCCATTTTTACAAGTTAATGTTTTTAAGATTATCCTAGTTTTAAAAAATGAACTTTCAAGCTCAAATTATCCGACTTTAGATATATTATGTGGAAATCTAATTTTCTAGAGAAAACTTTAATGCTGGGGAAAGTGGAAGGAAAGAAAAGATAACCAGCAGCAAGAAGGTTACAACAGTGAGGAGTGCGTTGTTGGGAGAGCTGAAAGGAACAAATTGTCATGAAGAAATTCTATCCATGTGGTTGCTGAAAGTCAACATTGATGTGATAGCACATAATTAATCAATTAACTAATCAATCATTCAATAACAGGTTGACTGTTAACTTTTTAAAGAAATGAAGTATCAAAATTATTTTTATTCTGAAATGTCTTGTACTCACAAAGAACTGGTATATCTCCCATATTAAAAGCTGTTTCAATTGTTTTTCTATCAGACATTTCTACTCCAGCATGATGATAAGCAACTCCACAAATTAAGAGATCTACAAATGAAATTCAAACTTGAAATATTGTTGATTTTCCCCCCTTATACATAAATGATTATAGTTTCTCCAATTAGCATAACTTACATACCCCTAAGCTTGGCTTCTTTTATTAAATTTGCAGATCTTTGTAATCTTCAGGGAGAGAACAAGAAAATATGGCAGTTGCAATAAATCATTAAATAAGTACAAAAAAATTAATAGTTTTTTTTTTGAAAGATCACTCCATTTGGTTTCATCATGATAAACTTCAGATTGGACAGGGATGAAAAACAGGAGAACCCCATTTATCACCTGATAAGGCTAAAAGGTTTTCACCCATTTCATGACAGCAATAAATAAACTCTTTTAGTTCAGAAAATTTCCATTTTTAAAAAACTCTTCTCATTAAAAATTATTCTCATACCAGCACTCGTCTTCTTTCTTCAATGAATGCATACTTTCTCTCCAGGCTTGGAGATCTGGCTGTGCCATAGAACCTATGCAATGGTTTTGTTGAATGTTGTTGGCTTTAATATACCTTGGTTGTGAATTGTGTTATATAAATTTTACATGGTTTTATATTATTTTATATTTTTATACTGTATTCTTTTTTATGGTTTTAATTGTAAGCTACACAAAACCATATATTTGAGATTGGCAACTATAAAATTGAAATAACAAATGGATATTTTTACTGTACTCATACAGAGAAAGATATATATGTATGCAATTAAAGCAGTAAAATTACTGCTTCAAGAAATTGACTGAAAATCAATGAAGTGTATTTTTAAGGAAATTTTAAGACTTGTTATGTAGAGACTGGAAAAACAATAAAAATATTCAAGCACTAATGCTCTGATTGTTGGTATCTGCTACATAACTGCAGAGCGCAGAGAGATTTACTTTAGATATTCCAAAAGCAATTACTTTACAAAAGGATGAATTTAATTACATCCTAAGTAAGTGGTCTGATGCTATTAATTTGTATTCCCTGAAATAGTCCTATGGAAAATATTCTTAGCAAAATCACTTCATTATTTAATCACCACATGCTATCATGGGGAGTAGTCCATTACAAATTGATGAGAAACACAGATTTTGCTACATATAGACTCTGCATATGTTGTAACTAGGAGAAAGCCTGCATTACAAGGTACCTTTGTTTTTGTTCTATAGTCATAATAAATTTAGCATCTTTTGCCAGTACAGAAGCAGCTTGCTGAACTCCTTTCCTTGTGGCACAGAACTGTAAATAAGAAAATCCATTGTTTATAATAATTCTGAAATGTACACTAGAACATGACAATTGTTAAGGGGGAAATTGTGATATATACCACAAGTGTTGGCTTTTGTTCAGAATATGTTTGAATAACACTAGCTATTTTATAGTTAAGTGTTAAGTCAAATTTGAATGCAGTTTGATTGCTACTGCAGGGAAATCCAAGCACAACTTTGTGAAGCTTCACTGGACGGTGTCTTTCATCTATTTTCAGGCATACAGCAGGCCGCTTGCCATCTGAAAGCCATTCTGCAATCTTTAAAGGAAAAGAAAACATGTTAGGATTGAAATTGGAAAAAGATGCCTTGGGCTGCAGTCCTGAAAGTACTTGCTAAGAGGAACTATACTTTAATCATGAAAGCTCCACTGGCAGAAATATTTTTAGATTTACTGTACTGGGTATTCAGTGTGTTTATTTGTGTCATGAATACAAAATACTGTTCCAGAATTTTTACCAAGATTTACCAGCTAATACTGCTAAATACTGCCTACATGTCAGTCTTTCTGCTAGAGTGCTTTGTACGTTATATGAAGATGGGTGAGTGGAGAATGTTATTTATATGTAAGATATTAGATGTTCTGTATAATATTCAATCACTGTATCTCTGGCGTTACAGTCAGAAAAACTGAGTAGAAACTACAGTAAATGTAAATATTGAGAAAAGAGAACAATACAATTTCAAACTCACTTGCACTGATTTATTGGCTGTCCCATGCATAACAGGAATCAGAAATGAGCATTATGAATATAGTAAATGAGTGATCTCTTATTCACTCAAGTAGGACATAGCAAACAGTTCCTTCCTCCACATTCAACCAAATAGCCAGTACACATATCCTAGATGTCCGAGCAAACAGGCTGGAGAATCCATAAATGCAAGTTGGGATTACTTCTCTTTTTTAGCTATAGAGGACAAATACTATGCTGTTTCTGATATTCTGGCCTTTGCCAGGTAGTAATAATACTGACTGAACTTTCCTGAGGAAAACCAGGAGGAAATTACACATTATTTCCCCTTTTGTTTTAAAAAACCTATCTTGAGACAAATAACAGGGAGATAGCTAGACATAAAAAGAAGCAGATCACTCAGAAAGGACCAAAGGAAAGAAAACATAGAAGAAATTTTTCTGATTGCAGAAAAATGTAAGCAAAATGGAGACTGGAAAAATAACCACATGGGTTCAATAGGCTAGTTTCCAGGAGAAAAGCACAACCAAGAGATGCTCAAGCAGGAGGGATTGTGATAAGAGCAAAGATAACCATTTCTGACACTGGAAGTGAGGAAGGGTGATACATCTGAGCCAAGAAAAACTTTTGGAAACATAAAAGTACTGTTCGCAGGAACAATAAAAGTTTCTACCAGTGGTGGGATTCAGCCGGTTCGCACCACTTCGGCAGAACCGGTAGCCCAGAATGGACTTCCGGAAGCGGCATCCACACAGAGAACTGGTTGTTCACATATTTGAATCCCACAATTGGTTTCTACCTGATCAGAGCGGGACCCATGGTAAAAGCAGGCCAAAATATTTTGGTGTTGGAGGTAAGATAAAGCACTGAGGCATAAACCAAAAATCTGTAAAGAGCCAACAGGAGCTAAGAAGTGCTTCTACAACTCTGACTGAAGGTTGCAAGCTATGGGAGTTAGAGATTATTTAGGACAAGCTAGTTGGATAAGCACAGTGAGAGAAATCATTTCTGTCTTAAATAAGATTAGAGTTAAATTTTGCTTTTAGATTCTTTGTTTTAAAATATAGTAGTCTGATGCATTAGAGGATCAGGAGAGATATGACAGTGTCTGCATATCGTATTTGAAGGGCTGTCACAGAAGAGAGAATGAACTTATTCTTTATTAATGGTTAAAACTACAATGAAAGATTCAGGCTAGACATCGAGAGGGACAAAACTGATTGAATGAGCTTTTAACCAGGGGAACAAGCTGCAAGTACAGTAGTTCATGGAATGGATAACAGATGAGGTGTCCCCTGGAAAATAAGTGATGCTCAAATGGAGTGTCCCAAAGCAGGAGAAAGGATCACTATATGAATTACCAATCTATATACTATTGGACTGAAATTCATACAAAAGCCATGCTGACTGAGGTTCTAATCTAGGAAGATGCAGCTATAAACATTTAATTCCCCATTCAAGCCTTGCTGTGCTGCCTCATCATGATGGGGAGTGTTCCTGCAAGAGAGAAATAAACAATATAGGGATTGTATGCCAAGTCCCGAAAGGATTATCCAAAGTTAAACAAGCCTCAGCAGTATAGGAATATGCTAGTAGTGGATGTTTATTTTAGTGACAACAGCAAATGAATAATTTTATACTATGTGAAAGAAAGCAATGACACACACACATTTTACTAAGACAAAATAATTGGTGATATAGTGCTGGTTCTTTCAGGTTGGATGGCACTTAATATTTTACTGGGGAAAAGCTTGGGATTTTTTGGAGTACTAATGATATTTATGTGTCAGCTAGATTAAAGCTTTCCAGATATCTAGTTGCTAATGTTGCCACACAGGAATAGAAAATCTAAAGCTGCAAAGACAGAGCTACTGTGGGAAAATGGAATGTCAGAAGCATATACATAGGAAAGCTCAACTCAGTGAAAGATGAAATGAATCAACTATTTGGTAAGGTAGCGCTCGAGGCTTGAAAAAGATATTCAAGTGTTATGAAGTGTCTGTACCTACAAAGACCAGAATCATATTAGCAAATAGTTTTCCCCAGGACAGTCTATGGAAGCAAAGGTTGGACTGAAAAAGTTGGGTAGAAAAAGTATTGCCTTTTTTGAACTTTGGTTTTGGAGAAAACTCTTGATCATATCATGGATAGCCAATAAAACAAACAAATGGTTCATAGAACAATCATCCAGAATTCTCACCAGATAAAAATGACACTGAAAATGTAACATATTGGACATATTATGGAAGACCTAAAGGGCCAGGTCTAGCTATGCTATGCTAGCTTATGCTAAGAGATGACACTGACTTGTGGTAAAAAACAATCAAATATTTAGAAATGACAGTGTGAAACGGAAACCTTCACTGTGCTAAGCACATATATTACAAACTTATGACCCACAATGCATTTTGGAATCCAGTCATTAGATTGCCACTACTGTAACCTGTATTATATTCAACAAATATGAGAGAAGTACAGAGTTTGCCCATCAAGCATAGCCTTTTAAATTTAAAGTGCTGTAACTGTCTTTTCTTTACAACAATAAAGAAATCAGTTGATAAACGTTGATATTTTTCTTTTTTGGATGTTTGGTTTTGGAGAGCAAAGCAGCTGAACAGAGAAAAAATATTTTTGAAATATAAAGTACAGTATAAAGTATAAAAAGAAAAGTTAATTCATGTTTCTTACATCTTCTGCATTTGGAATCGTTGCAGAAACTGCCACAAATCTCATGGGAAATACTGAGCTAGGATTGTCAGAACTTTGTGAGAAAGAAGACTGAATAGTTTTCATCCGGCTGACCACAACTTCAAGAGTAGCACCCCGGCTCTCATCTTTTACAACATGTACCTATGGAATTAAATACAACTGTATATAAAACATATACTGCTTTCCGTCATTATATTTTAAGTCACCTGTTACTACTTTACCTCATCAATGAGGATAAGTCTCACTAGCCGAACTAAAGAGTTATCTCTCCACTTTCTAGTCATGCTATCCCACTTTTCCTAAAGAATAGAAAAAAATTATCATTGCAGTACAATCTAAATTATCTGTTTTATAGGATTAAAAATACCGTTGGTACTGTCAATCGCTATTATTACTAGACCTAGCAATTAGCTTTAGCATTATAAATACTAACAATTATTTCAAAATGTCTTTGTTTCAAGCCAGCAGCACTTTTAATTAAAAAAGTACTGCAGATCAAATTCAAACAGAATTTCAGAGTAATGCTGCATTTTCATTTTTCAGATTTAATTATTGTGTCTGATGCTACTCTACGCAGCAGCAAAGAAACCTCTCATGCATGCTATATGACCAATTCACAGTGAAACTATAGATAAATCAACTGGAGACTGATCAGGCTTATTTCTAAACATAAAAATATAACTTGAATGGTGAATATTTCTAGTTAGCAAACAAACATTAACTAATTTTTGAAACTTACTGGTGTGGTCAAAATAATGTGAGCATGCTGTATTTCAAATAAGTCATCCACTGCTGTATCTCCTGTTAGCTCCTTACAGATGAGTCCAATGGGTCCAAATTTTTCTTTCCAATCATCAAAGCGCTGACTGCAGAGAGCTTTTATCGGAGCCACTAAAAACAATACCAAGTGTTGTGAGAGAACAAGATATCCACAAAGTAACTCCAGTACAATATCTGCAACACTTTTCCATTTTTTTCCGCTCACAACTTCAAATTCAAAGTTAGGGCTATACTCTAATGATTTTTCATATCTATATATTCTACTTCTTTCACTGAGCCTTAGCTGTATACTCTTTAAAATATTAAACTTTTTTCTCAAGTTTTTTTTAAAGAGCATACATTTTTATTTTAGTTTACGTATTAATTTTGTAATAAATCAACATTTAAAAAGAGCAATTCTACAGTCCCGGGGAGATTGGCTGCGGTGCGGTTATATCTCATGAATTTCTTTTTTGCTAACTTCGCCATATTTTCATTGTCATCAGTAAAGGACAATTATTCTGATGGCAGTACAGAAAGTAACATATTGAAAAAGACCAAGCGACACCTTGCAGCTGCCGGATTCAAACCCTATTCCTGGTGCCACTAGAAAGTACAAAATATTTACCAAATTTGGAACTTCTGGATTTATTTTTCTTACTAGTGAAATAAATAAAATAAATGTTTTAATAGAAAAAGGCAATGAAAGCAAAGGATATCCCACTCCCTGAGCAGAACTATTTTTGCCTCTGTGCACTGCAGAAAGAGTATAGCCCAATCATTACATATCACTGTCTGCTTAAAACAAGGGACACCTTTCTCCGTGCAGGAAGAATTTCCGGTATAAAGTGACAGAAGCAAAGTTTAGACCAGCGGACTAAGCTTTGGAGGAAGATCTTCCTATATCTACAACTTTACCCATTGAATCATATCAGGAAAGGGCCCAGCAAAGTTTCTAACTACTGGCCTAAGAGGCCTTTCAGGACAAGACTTATGAAAAAATAAATCAAAACCACATTATGCACAACTATAAAACAAAATAAATACATCATTATTAAAATATATAAATATAGTTTTGTTGCTGCCATAAGGCTACATGCAATAACCAAAACATCAAGCAAAAACAAAGTAGTTTTATGAGAAGTAATAAATAGTATACTTACTATATACAATTTTAATATTTAACCAAGGTATTGGCACCTTGATTAATAATCTGGTAATTGCAAGCTCGAACATTACAGTTTTTCCAGAACCAGTTGGTGCGCAGATTACAAAATTTCTGTCTGTGTAAAGAAGCTACAAAACAGTAACAAATAGTAAAATATAGCACAGCAGCCAACAACACCTATTTTGACTTTTAAAAACCCACTTTTTAAAAAACACGAGAAGCAAAAGAGCCTAAACCAGAATATTTTATTTTTTCTTTGCATTTGCCACTGAACAATTGTGAATAATATATGGTATTTAAAATGATTATGTGGCATGGTTTGAAACAACATTGCTAACATAAAACCAGTTCTCAAGTCCCAGGAGGAAACAGTGCAGATAGGAAAAAAATAGCATATGACATATCATATATGGACTAGCAAAATATATTAACATTTCAGCTACATAAGTAAAACACAATAAAATATAAATGTTCAAAAGATTTATGTTCAAATACCAATGTCTAGGCCAGGGGTAGGCAACCTTGGCTCTTTTATGATTTGTGGACTTCAACTCCCAGAATTCCTGAGCCAGCCATGCTGGCTCAGGAATTCTGGGAGTTGAAATCCACGAGTCATAAAAGAGGCAAGGTTGTTTACCCCTGGCTTAGGCTATATAACCATTGAAGCTCAGTATCACTTATATTAAAAAAAAAAATCAGATACTGGACTGGTATATGCCCTCAGCTTATAACTGGTCACTATGTGATCTACAGTTTGACCTGGGACCCTGCAGTCACACTGAGGAGAGGATACGATGCCCCTTCCAGACAGAGAATGCTGGCAGATGCCATGTGAGGTGTAAATCCTACTCAGGATTATCCATTTCTGATGTGGTAGTTCAAAGCCTGGCACCTTTTTTGTGGGGTCATTTATGTGTCTTCCTATGTCTGGGCGTTCAGCGACCCATTTGGCTTTCCATTGGGAATCAATTTTAAAGTTGTTGGGCAGATGTTGTGCAAGTGCCATCAGGGGCTTCCCTGATTTGAGTCTTTTGGCTGATAAATGTCTTTAATATTTAATCTGTCTTTACAAATATACAATAAAAATGTCAATCATATATATCCCTATCAACATAGGAGTTTGAAATATTGTATTTTCCTGTCTAAATTGCTTATACTGTGATCTTATAATATTTATCAAAAGGTAAATCCCATAAAATTAAAAACTTCATCCCAAAATAAGAAGGTATAAGATAGTAGCTTTGGGCAATTATGACATTTGATGAGATTTTGGAAAATATAGATTATAAATTTGCTCATTATACTCTAAAAATATTTATTTCTTTACTGTAGCATAGGCCATAGATCAGAGGTTCTCAACCTGTGGGTCGGGACCCCATTTGGGGTCGAACGACCATTTCATGGGGGTCGCCAAACAACGCAGTCTGCCATTTTTTCCCCCTTTTCCTTAGCTGTGCTACTCCCTTTTATTCTATTGGCTTTTGAAAGAGTTGGATTTGGGTGATGAGGATGGAAGGCTACTTCTGGATATTTATTTATTGTCTTTTAGTTTTTGTTATAGTTACTTTCCAAGAATGTAAGAATAGTTTAATACCAGTATTATTATAATTAGCTCATACTTACATCGTCTAAAGCCTTAGATTGAATATAATTAAAATAAGGGAATTCTTTGAAAATATTTCTAAATTGAGAGGCTTAAAACTCGTATTAAGGAAACACTTTAGTGAAGTACAGGTACAATTTTATCTAAACATAAGTATAAAAAATCTTCTAATTTTCCACATTTGTTGCATTTCATAAAATAGGTCTTAAAACAAAGGAATAAACACAAGAGAAAACTGAAAGAAGAAAACAAATGTTTTGGGGAAAATCTGAATAAATATTTATAAAATTACCGATTAATTTACCAAACTTAAACATTATTCATTTACATGGGTAAATTAATCCAACAACTCTGCTATGCTAATGGGCCACTAAAGTCATATAATAGTACTGTACCTCAATATATGAATAATAATATTGTGGATCATGACCCTTGCTATAATGATGAGTTTGCTCAATTAGCTTTCCTGATACTATATAGCCATATATAGGAACCCCTTAGCCACATGATGAATTTTTAGATTTTAAAAGTGCTACTGCTTACATCCAAGAAATGTTATATAGTTATAGCAATAACTTATAAAAGGATACGGATTTCAGTCACAGGCCTCAAAATCACGGAGTCATTTTTAGATACCACTAGTAACAAAACAAAACAAAATGTTGGTTTAATTTTCTTTCTTTCTCATTCACATACACATTATAATTGATCTTAGCCAATATTTATTTAAACCGCACTAATAAAAACAAAGAAGGTTAGATTCTGATCTAGCTGTACTTATTTGTGCAATAAATAAGCAGGGGAGGATAGACTAAATATTGATATTCTGTACAAATCTTGATATTTATAACATGAAAAATGGCAGTAGTAACTATCTTTTCTATTACAGTTTGCTATGTTAACAGATATGTTGAGGACAGGCTGTAATCCCATTGGCAATAATGTAACATTGATGTTGGTTGGTGTGATGGTTGAAGTTAGCCCCATCAGTGAAGTAAATAGTAGAGGAAGCCAATGCTGTGAATAGCAATGCAGTGCTGAAGGAGAAAATTTCTTGTCAGCTGTTTCCTGGTATGATGAACAAGTATGCTATTTCTGGTGTTGAAGAAATTTTTAACTTCCAGTCCAGTCAGCTTTTGTACATGAACTGGAAAAGACTACCAAGAAAAAAATCAAAATATTTTGGACCAAATTTGCTTGATATCTAAAATTTTCAAAAGAGTTATCTGTTGGTAAGTATTTTGTATTAATTTGAAATCTGCAAACTACAATTCCATGCTTTATACAGTATAACAAACTTATTCACAAAATATAGCTTAAAGAAGGTAATGCTTGTAAAAAGCTTCTTTGAAGGCATTAATAAAATATATTCCTACTCTAATTTAAATAATTTCTAACCTTAACTTAATCTTTATAATTGTTTCTGGGTGCTTCTCTTATGGGTGTTTCTAAATCAGTGGTTCTCAACCTTTTTAATGCCGCGACCCCCCCAACCGGTCGTAAATCGAGGACTATTCAACCGGTCGTAAGTCGAAGACTACTCAACTGGTGCAGCACCGTTTGCAGAAT